TTGTGAATTTAAAACGATTCAATTTGAACTATCTGTTGGTTTTTGATCCAACATTGGTCTAATCAATCTTTGCATTGCTTAAGCTTGACTGAGGAACATGTATATATGACGCATGAACATGAACAATGACCAAAACTGTCACATAAACCATGCATTTGTTCAATTATCAATATTGCAATTATCATCTCTAGGCTCATCTTTTGATCCCATCAAAGTTATGCTCCGTTTGTTACGATGAAAAAACAAAAGGATGAAAATTATGAGAAATAGATAAAATATCATATTTGATAAGAAAGGAAAATAAAAATGATGAAAAAGTGGATGGATAAGCTTTCCTTCCAACTTACAAAAATCAATCCCTCCAAAATTAAAAGAAAAGTGAATGAAAAGTTAATTATTTATGGTTAACTGTATTTTATTTGTCTATATATTCTTTGATATATACATATATTATGTATACATTAATTTCATATATAAATACAATGGTAAAATATGTATTTATATTTTTTTAAACAAAATTTAAAAATAAAAATTTTAAAAATATTTTTTCTAACTTACCAAGTACAAAAAAAAAAATTAATCATTTTTATTTTCTATTTGTTCTACCAAATACAAAAGAAAGGAAAATATATCATTTTTACTTTCTTTTCTTGAAAGATAGAAAGTGTATCCCTCCTATATTTTCTATTCATTTTACTTTTGATTCTTCCTATTAAACGGAGGCCCATTTTGTATTAGATCCACATGACTTTAAAATACATTGTATTTTGAAATGTAAAACTCATACTTAATTGAAAAAAAATAAAATCTTCACTCTATGTCTAAGTTACCACTAGTTTGGAATCATTGTTCCACAACTAAGGTTTATTCCGAGCATATGTCACTTGGAAATACTATTTGTCCCCTAGAATAATTCTCACCTAAACTTAGTTAATAAAGTATGGTACAACAATTTTTATTTTATTTTTACAACAATTTGAATTGTATAGATTCCCGAATCGTTCTACAATACTCTTACCGTAAAGAGAATGGAGGTTCTACAATGATTGTTTTCTTCTTTTTTTCATCACTCTTTTATGTGGACGATGCATTGGATGATTCGACGAAGAAATTGTGATCATGGAGGTGCGAGATGATCCTTACTGCACTATTCATATGTAATATACTTCTTTTTTTGACTTGCAATCATTCGAAAGAAACCTTTTTTATCCCATAAACAGTGCACTTAAAATCTATTTTTTTCATTGCCTCCCCTCTCACCGTGTGTTATCTAATAATAAACTTCACCATCATCAAGGTATATAATTATCATCTTTGCCATTATTTCTATATATCATTGTCACAAACATTACGACCATATCAATTTATTTATGTAGTTCGTAGTTTGTCATTATTATCGCTATCATCTTCATCATCATTTTTTGACGTAGCTTACTTTCCTCCATTTGGTATATGCATGATTTTTTTTTTCTGTCATAGTTTGATTAGGATGATATTCTAATATGTAATATTCATGTTGAGTTAATATCATTCTTTGTTCGTTCATTTATAAAATATACACGCACTGTCACGAGGCAGTCATCATTCAATTCTTTTTTAACTATTCTGTGGCACTTCTATAAATAAATTGGGTTGGTTTGAATATGTTTTGATAATTTCTTTGGATGAAAGCAATTATCTTTGTCATTAGGTTCCCAGACCTTAATGCTAATGCCAATAATTGTGAGTTTTTGATTGGAAAGTGTCCAAATCAGCCCAAAAATCATACAATCACCTTGATTAAAATTTCCTCCCAATTGGAATTTTCCCATGGACACATCACCATGTAGGTCCCCCATTACTTCACTGTTATGTCGTTTTCCATCAATAATTAATTTTTTATTCAAATTTAAGTAAAAATTAAAATAAAAAACATGATTTGATAAAGAACACTCCCATGAATAAATCATATTTTTACACAATTCATTTAAAAAAATTCCAGTAGGAGTCCATTTCTTTAATTTTTTATCCAACCTTTTTCCTCTATTATTTTCTTTGCTGCTTTCTCTCCAATCTCTTTCTCACCTTATTTGCATAACACTTCAACTCTACCCTCAAATTCAGCCTCAACCAATATTTCTTATAAATAAGCTCATACTATTCTTTTTTTTTTCTTGTTATTTCTTACATTTTTTTAAATGAAAAAATGTTTTATCTCTGATTGCTGAAATTTTAAAAATGATATCAAATTTAAAATTGGCAAATGATATTGGTGGTAAATGATTTAAGTTTCATTGAAGTTATATTTTTTATACTTATCGATGAGGTTAAATGAAAATTGAAAAAATAAAGGAAAAAAAAAGTAGAGAAATGCATAAATAATGGCAGTGAAATATAATTGTTGAAAAAATAGAGATGTGTGAAATATGACTGTTGAAAATTTAAATAGAATTTAAGTTTTCTTTCATTTGATTTGAATAATAATTTGAGTCTTCTTCATCTACTCTTATTAATCGATGGGTTGTATCATTGTCAATATATTTTCTATATTTTTTGTTACTTCCAGCTTGAGCATTATGAATTGAAGTGAGAATTAAAAATGTGTGGGTCCTCTGCACAATAATATATATATAAACACACACACGCCACACACACATAGGATTAAGATTGTGGGGACTTTCCAATATTCGATAAGTTATCGGCTGCTAAAGGAAAATTTAAAAATATATTAGAAAAAATCAAAAATCCTCAATGAACATATATGTACACCATAGATATATTTGGATTCCTATGTAAAATTGTCAAGGTGGTGGTCTCAAATAGTATACACACACGTATAGTACGTGAACCTCCAATCTATCCCTTATTTAAGGTGTCTATCAAATAGCTAAACTAGCAATAGAATAAACTTTCCCTTCCTTCCTTTCCTTTCCTTTCCTTTTCACTTTCTTTTCTACCCAAAATATTATTTTTGTTTGATATGCTCGGTAGTTGTCAAGACTTACGAAAGAGAAAATACTCGTGAAAAATGATAGAAATTTCAAACGGTTTCTATACTTGCAGTACTCATGTGATGCAGTTACATAAAAATTTAATTAATGTGTAAAAAATATTGTATCATATTGTATTATTAATCATAATCTCCATTTATGATGACATGTCAAGTCCACTCCCTTATATAAAAACTCAATCATTGTGGAGAGTGTTGATGTTTTTTTTCCTTGTACTAAGCTAAACACTTTCTCGCTGTAAGAGAGACAGAGAGAGTACACCAATGTGTGTCGACTCTCCATATTAGACTAAAGTCACCAAACCAAATAAACATTTTATTATGTTATATTATATTTCAATTATTTTTTTAAATATTACCCCTAGTAATTTTTTTTTTTTAAAAAATGTTTGAGTAACTAAAAATATGTTTTTTTTTAAATAGAATTGTCTTTATTACATTACCCCTAGTTTCATTTCTTAAATTCCAAATAATTTTTTATGTACCCCAAAAATATTATAAGAGGATTTCTACGCCATAAAAATAAAATAAAAGACGTACGTTGTATTTGTTAGTGCTGATTTTAATTATTTTGCTATTAATCTGATAATAAAATGAATAGCTCTATACAGATTATAAAATTGATTCAACTTTTCCAAGCATTAATCTAACAGAAAATATTGATATAATTGAGCTTTGCATTACCCAGACAGCCGAACTATTTAAAAAAAAAAACAAAAAGTGGCAAAGCAATTTGACTGACAATACCAAGAAACAATCATAGTGCTACGTTGTACTCTATAATATCTACCTACGATACGAGATAAAGAGTTAATAATTAGCTAATCCCGGTGAACATGAAGGCCATCGTGGTCGTTCATTGGAGCCTTGTCACTTGAACCATAGATCGTGGCCGTTCGTTTAAGATGACGAAAATATAGGCTATGGGGATCGGAAAAGCTACGCAACCACTAATAGTAACTATTATTCATTCGTTGATAAATGAAAGCCGCTTTTTCTGGGTGACCACAATGAGTAAATCAACGGCTGAAAGTTCAGGAGGCTCTGACGGTGGACAACTAACCACGTCGTTACCATCGTTTTATATATAAGAAAATCCAAAAATATCACCATCATCGTGATTATAATTGGTTCATGGAGAGACAATCATGATATGTTTGCATTCTAAATATCAATGGATGGAAGAGTTGTTTTATATATAGAAAAATCCGATAATATAAATACTCTCACTATGACTATTATGATCCATGGACAACTATAAAACAACCGATCAAAAATGCACGGCATGATGGTTCATTCAAGAATTGCGTGGCATGGCCATGAGATGACAAAGACAAATATGATATGTTTCCTTCTAATTATGGAAGGAAGTTAATTATATTTGATAGATAATACAAAAATATTGTGAACCCCATGATGATTTTTATTGTTTATGGATAACTAGAATTCTAGAAAGCAACCGATCACATATGGCTTGATGGCCCACGTGATATTTGCATGATATGGCCATGATAAAAAGGGTCATGATCATTTGTTTTACATTCTAGTTATGGAAGGATGATTAATTATGTACATAATTACATTTATGGAGAGAGATTAAAGTTTTCTTAATGATTACAACTAGGGTCATGATGACACCGCTGATTAAAACCAAAGTTTGAGAGAGAGAGAACAACTCAAGTCTGCGCAGCCATAGCCGCCATTTCCTCTCTTTCTTTCTGATATGATTGATCACATTAACTACATTATGATTACCTGCCCTAGACAGAGAAGGTTATTTAGAGAGAAGGAGAAATGGACAGACGCAGGATAGAAAAGATTGCGACTTTTAAAAATAAAATAAAATAAATTATTAAGAGAGAGAGAAGGCCCACCAAAAATCAGGTATATAAGGGCAGCATTAGAACACTAAAACCACTACTTCAACGATAAACTAGCCAAAAAAACCTCTGCAACGATAAACTACTCAAAAACCTTCGAAACTCAACGGCCCCTCTTTTTGGTGTCCTCCGAGCTGTTTTCTATCTCTCTTGGATCTTCTTGGTTTCTGAAAGTTCTCCAAGATTTTCCGTTTTGCTTTCCTTGCTTCAAATACACGTTATTGATCAAAAATATTTTCGTAGCCTTGAAAAAGCTGCGATTGTATGTAGCCCTTCCAGTTCCGCATACTCTATAAAGCTCTATTTACTCTCGAGCTCAACTCGTTGAGTGAACAGCATTCTAGTTTGAAGCTCTTAGGGTGTTCCTTTCTATCTTTTTTTTCGATATTTTGTTTCATCATACACAAGAAGATGGTGGATGATGGTGTTATAATAGTGGTGAGAGAATTTGATGCCAAGAAAGACTGTAGAGGAGTGGAAGAAGTAGAGAGAAGGTGTGTGGTTGGAACAAGTGGCAAACTCTCTCTCTACACTGACCTTTTGGGTGATCCTATTTGCAGGGTTCGCCACTCTCCTGCTTATCTTATGCTGGTAATACAAAAATCTCCCCCCCCCCCCCCCTTCTCTCTCTCTATGCGCATATTCATTGTTACCTATGAATAAATTGCCCATATGTAATGAACGTTTTTCATTAACAGGTAGCTGAGATGGTGTTGGTTAAACAAGATAGAGAAGAGAGAGAAATAGTAGGGGTGATAAGGGGTTGCATCAAAACCGTTACGTGTGGGAAGAAACTCTCCAGAAACTTAAAAAATGGGAACGATCCCTCCAAACCTCATCTGCTTCCCGTCCACACCAAACTTGCCTATATCTTAGGCCTTCGCGTCTCTCCTTCTCACCGGTATATTTACTTCTTTCCACTACTCATTATATATAACTAAACAATGATCAAAATCTTACCAAAAATGGAACTTTGAGTAGAATCAGTAGATTATATTTATGGATTCTCCAAAATTATTTGACCTTCTATACTATATTATATGGATTTGTCTGATTATATATGCCAATCTAGAGACAATAATGGTAATGTGTATTGACGTTGCAGGCGAATGGGACTAGGGTTGAAGCTGGTGCGTAAAATGGAGGCGTGGTTCGGAGAAAACGGAGCTGAATATTCGTACATGGCAACTGAAAGCGACAACCAAGCTTCCATTAAGCTTTTCACCCAGAAATGCGGCTATACCAAGTTCCGCACACCCTCTATCCTGGTACACCCTGTGTTCGCTCACCGAGTCCGAGTCACCAAGCGAGTAACCATCATCAAACTCACTCCCTCCGACGCCGAGTCTCTCTGTCGCCGTCGCTTCTGCACCACCGAGTTCTTTCCCAAAGACATTAACTCAGTTTTGAACAACAAGCTCAATCTGGGTACTTTCGTTGCCGTTCCTACTGGTTCTTATAGCGACGAGTCCTGGCCGGGTTCTGACTCGTTCTTGGATGACCCACCTGAGTCATGGGCTGTACTCAGTGTCTGGAACTGCAAGGACGTGTATACACTCGAGGTTCAAGGCGCGTCGCTAGTGAAGAAAGTATTTGCCAAAACGACTCGTTTAGTGGATCGGGCTTTTCCATGGCTACATTTACCGTCCGTTCCTGATGTGTTTAGGCCTTTTGGGCTTCATTTTCTCTATGGGCTTGGGGGCGAGGGCCCATTTTCTGTGAAGTTTTTGAAGGCCTTGTGTGGAATGGCCCACAACCTGGCTAAAGAGTGTGGTTGTGGGGTGGTGGCGACGGAGGTGGCTAATCGAGAGCCGCTCAGGTTAGGAATTCCACACTGGAAAAGACTATCATGCGCGGAGGACTTATGGTGCATGAAACGGCTTGGGGAAGACTACAGTGACGGAGCTGTGGGTGACTGGACCAAATCACCGGCTGGAGCGTCCATTTTTGTTGATCCCAGAGAGCTTTGATATGCAATGTAGTCTCTTTTGGAAGTTAGAAAAAGAAAAGGGTGTTTTTGTTGTATTTTTTTGTTGGTTAAATTTTGCCATAGAGTTTTAATATTTTGTGACGATTTCGAGGTGATATAAGATGGCGATGGTGGTCGCGATAGCGGTGGCGGTGGCGGCTGTGTGGTGGTGGTGCTCGTCAGGGAATATCCCAACCTCTTCCTTTTGTAAATGGATGTGGCTTTTTAGATCCTATGTCAGCCGAACGGAACCTAAATCTTTTTTCTGTGGGGTCTATGACCTTTTGACATCCTTTTAGTTATTCTTAGTGTGCCTACTATAACGATATGGTTTGGATTACAAATCATTTTATCAATAGTTTGTTTACTTGTAGTTATGGATTGTTGTATTATAATTTTTTTCAACTCATGATTTGACTTATTTTATGACGTGTAATATCGATTGAAAAAAATGGTTTTAAAAAAATTTATTTCAGCAATTTGAGGTTTAAATAAAAGTGAGACTCACACCTCAAAATTAGTAGGATTAAATTTAAACGCGGTCTGTGAGGATATTAATGTGGTGTATTTATTTGTTCAAAATTATTAAGATTTGAATGAGAAATTATGTTTCAAAATGACTTATTTGAAGTGATAAAATAAATTAAAGTTAATGTAGTAAAATAAGGTTTGCCCCACATTGGAAGAAACCAATATTTTGGTGAGTTAATATACTCCTACTTGGCTTCATGGGTTAGACTCCGAGAGTACTACATTTTTGTAAGCGGAGCAGACGCATACATTATCTTGATTATTACACGTGCATCACCGCCCACCTCGCCATAATCCGACCGGGCTTGGGCTAAAAAGATATAAACATTTTAGATAAAATTTATTTGAAGCAGTGCGGATAATTTGTCAAACCAATCGGATTCAAAATCTCAACCAAAATTTAAATTCAATCGAATTTTAAATTTCTTCACGTTATTTTCTTTGAACTTGACGTCAAAAGAGGTCAAAATTTATTCCAAAGTGTTTGTTCATTTTAGGAAGTGTTTCTTGCCTGTTCAGATTAAAGAGTGTGTCTCTTCAATTTGAATAGTAGCAACTCATACCTTTTCAGGCAATCTGAAAAATCACCAAGAGTCTATAATCTGTCTCATTGTCATTTCAATCCATCTCATTCTGAATTATAGTTTTAGATTTCTTCTCTCTCTCTCTGCATATTACTACATTGTTCTTTTCGTTCGGTTAAAGTATAAACACAAGTTGTGTTCGTTAGAGTGTTGAAGATTGAAATATTGCTTCTTCAATAACATAAAATTTGTTCTATCTTAAGAGACATTTGTTTATTAACCTTGAGTATCGAGAGGAAGCAAATATGTCTTAAAAATATTGTGTTTCATAAGGCTCGAATTGAAATTATAATTTTCTTATTTATTATTTGTATAAATCTACATCCCTGTGAATGCACTGTTCTGATATATATATATATATATATATATATATATATATATATATATATATATATATATATTTTCTATAACAATACCTACATCTCGAGTTAGTTGTTAGGCAACAGGTATTTATATCGAACAATTTATTGAATAGGTGTACTCAATCAATATAATTATAACATGAATTCATTAAAATTAAATTGATATTCAACAACTTTATGTCAATCTCCTAAATAAACCGAAAGTACCCAAATATCCCATGAATCTAATCTTTTTTAGTGGCCTCTAAAGCAACCTTTCTTTAGTGACCTTTTGGCAATGTCGCCTTCAGTAGCAAAACGAGAAAATCCATGGACATGGGCTGGCAAAAGGTGGCGTCTTATCTAGGAATCATTTTGGACCCTGTGCAGATACATTGCAACAAGAGGATGACATGATATGACTCTGAATGGGGTGCTTTTGCATTGGATTTGTAGGAGGATTCTTTTTAAAATGACACTGTATTTTTATCGGTTCATATTTCTTTTTATACACTATTCAGTGCACGAGATTGATTTGGAGAAGATTAGATATACGCAGTCCTGTAAGGAGAGAAGTTATTTTCACAATTCAAACCCGTGACCTTTGCGTCACGAGATTGATGGCTGCGGCTATGTGCTTAATGTGTAAGATGGTTATATCAATCTCTCTCTCTCTCTCTCCCACACGTATTTCTCATATTCCACCAATCTCCCTTCAAATTCTCAAAGATGTGGGTTGCTGCTTTAGCGTCCCGAGGGAATATCATGAGGTCAAGTCAAGGTCAAACAATGGTAACATTACAGACCTGATTATTTCAAGCCTTAGCTCAGGAGATGCCAATGTTGTCATAAGACTTATAACAACTAAAATGGACCCCGTGACATACAAAGCTAATACTTCCAATTCCAAGTGGTATTTCAAATACATAGGGACCATTTGATCAATGAGTTTCATAAAAAAAAGGTAACTGAACTGACTAATTCAAGGGTCCTTGTGCACGTGGAACGTAAAATTCAAACACAATACTGATTTGCTTATTTCTATATTCCTCCTCATTGGCATTTCTTTTCCACATACTGTCTAGCAAATTTGGGTCACAAGCACAATCAAAACCCTAATCTAAAACAAGAGAAGCAAAAACAAATATAAGAAGGAACCTCCAATTCTCTTTGGGTACAAAAAATCACAATCAACATTTATGAACCTTTTCATGGTAAAACTCAGTCCCAAGCTGGTCTTTATAGTAACCAGATGCTTCTATTGACCAAAAGATACAGGTGCAAAATCTTTTCCTTTCATACCCAAGCTAGCTGGAAGATGTCTGTGGGTTTTCTAACATCCTATCATTATTTCATGATACAATTCTAAATACTGATCCAAGACTACGGTTCCTAGTTGTATCGACACTAAGATGATGAATGCCTTCTGCTTCTTGATGGGGTGGACTTTGTCTCCTCCGCAATTGTAGAACCAGGGCTCTCCGATGTTTCTGAACTGCTGTTCTCGTTTGATCTGTCTCTCCTTGACCAAAGCTTCGAAAAGATGTTTTTTGACATGAGCAAACCTTTAACTTCACTGGCAGCAATTTTTTTGTCATTTGTTTTGGTACATTCATTCATGTTACTGTTATTGCCACGTCCCCCTTCCCTCAACCGTAGAGTAGCCAGCTCCCCCTTCAAAACCTTGAACTCTTCAGCAGTTGGCATCGAATCCCAGTCCTCTTCTGTGTTGGTTGTTGCAGACCAGGAGCTCCCATGGGAACCACCGGGGAGTAAACTCCTGATGGACACAGGAAGGTCAGGTGTGTTGGAACCACTGGTTGCTGTCATGGCCCTGACCTGCTCAAAGAAGAGGACCTGCACAACAACTCTTAGTGGGAGTCGCTCATTTTGCATAGCTTGCATGCTTGCATCCACTGAGAGCTTCTTGCAGTCCATGAGCCTGCAAATTTTCTTTCGGTCACTCTTGCTGATCCCAGGGTGTTCCTACATCAAACACAATCAGAAACTTATTCGTTAGAAACCAATAGCCTCTTGCTTCCAGACATGATTGCACACAACCCCCCCACCCAGTGGGGAAACCGTCAGAAAGAGGACTAGAATAAAGAAATTTAAGAATTTACCTTGAGATACATGTCAATGGCATGGTAAATTCCATCATGAGACATTCTTGAGAAACCAGATACCATTTCTGCAAGATCAACGAATTTTGAGAGAGGTAGATTAGGATCTCTTGCAACTTCAGCAAGGTAGGCATCAACCAGCTTAGCCAACTTTGCCTTGGAGGCATTTGATACAAACCCAGGGCTTCTTATCTCCAGGAATTCATTTTCTATGAGACAATGAGTATGAGCACTCCACTCCTGCTTCAGAAACTCCTGAACCAAGTCTCTTACTATATCAATATTGTACACAATTGTTTCACCAGCTGGAGCTGGAATCAAAAGATCAGCCACAGTAGCCTCCTCTAGCTGCTGTCCAATTCTTCTAATCAGCTCCCTTCTTACCATCTCTCCACATTCTAACATAATTGATAACTGCAACAATTTCAGCAAGAAACTACAAGGAATACTGCCTTTCTCTGAGGGCAGCAGCCACGTTATGGTGTCAACCACATACTGACTCTTAATGATGTCACCATCATGTACCACACCCTTGCTAAACCCTGGCAACCTTCTCAGGGCATATGCTTTCAAGGCTTCTCCAATTACATCTGCAGACATTATTCCCGTTGTTTTTATGGTTGTTATGACCCGTTTATATAAATCAACTTGAAGCTCACACAGGTCCTCCACCCACCAGTCCTTAGGAATTATTTGCTGTTTTTTAGCACCATTCCATTGTGGATCATTTCCATTCTCAGATGGGAGTTTGTTACTGTTATAGGTGTATGACCACTTTACCTTTGAAGCATCAATGGAAGCTTTAGAAGCTATGGAGTCTAGGCAGTGGCTGACAACCTTCAGTTCCTCAGACCAAGGAAGAAGAGACTTTGTTGTTTGAAGAACGATGATCGAGTCTTTCCAACTCCGGAAAATGCTAAAGTTGAGGAAGACTTCAATCTTGTAGATAAGATTGCCTTTCTCGATGGTTTCATACATATCCAGATATTCTGCTGCACAACGAGCTGCAACTACATTGTATGCATTCAGAGTGACTGTCATACCATAACAGAACTTAGCACATACTTCAAAGGCAGCAGGTCCACCAGGTATATCATTAATGTTGACTTCATCATTGTTTTCCTCATCTGTTATTGCAACCAGCTCCCGTAAGCGTGCACTCTTGGACAGAAGGGGAAACTACAGAAATACGTTGATTATTAGTATCAACAAACAACAATATGCAATAAATAATCCACAAACGCTGAATCATGAGCAACCATTTCATACCATTTTACTACCAAGGTCCAGTTGGGAACAGAGAATTGGGTAAACAAAACTAGTGTAAAAGGGTAACTGGAATTGGCTAGAGAAATTTGAATAACACTGTTGGTTTCTTGGTAAGTTGGTAACTGCCTGCCCTATAATGATCATTTTGTTTAACCAGGTCAAATAGATTCTTGGCTATGTTGGATTGTAAATGTTATTCCATCATCCTCACATATCGTACCATATTTATCAAAGCTTTACACATCTTGTAAGCACAAATAGATTCATACCTTGTGCAGATGAAATTTAACATCCCTCACGTTGATGACTATGTCTGTTGCCAACTCAGTTGCTACATACCTGCACATACAAATGTTCCTCACTGTCAAATTCATGAGAACATGACATGCACAAATGTCTACCTACCTATTGGCAAACATAAAGAGAAGCAGCATAGCGATGAAACGGGATTTTTATCACTGATGGTGTATGTATGTTGTAAAATAAAAAGCTATTGCATCTTACTACTGACAAGGAGCCACTAGAAATATCCAAACATTTTCAACCAGTTATTGCATTAAAAGTATATATAAAAGCAGGAATCCCTGTCTCTGATTAAAAAAAAAGGCCCAACTATCTCCAAATTAAGTTGGTGACGCTAGCAATTCCTGCGCAGACACAAGGGTTTGGCATGAAAGCTGAAGTATATACTCAAGACAAATGTGCATTCCAGTAGTCAATGGCTGGACGAGGAATTTCAGCCAAACTTAGTGGAAGGAGAGTTCCCCAGTATTGTTGGCAGACCTGTTGTATGATATTTATTCCACTCTAGCTACACTGGCATTGTAGATATTGCCTTGTTTTGATCCCAAAAACCATTTGCAGTAATGCCTTATCTGCCTTTTGTATTTGCTTACACATGCCTAGTCAGCTTTGAGGGTTAATTGCATTTTCCTCAAGTCAAGGGTGAAATTCAAAGTTGTGCTACCCTTTTATACATGAAAATGTTGCTTATAAAAGATAAATAAAATAAAATTTAGCGATATGTGTGGCCTGATGAAGTTAAGAAAGAAAAAAGGAAGGCAGAGAGGATGGAAAAGCAGTCGAATGGAGAAGAGATCTGAAAACCGTCAACAAACAGCATCAACAATCACTGACACTCTACATTACATGTACACATGAACAATTACTGAAACCAGCTCCTAGTTGAAACAAAAACAAACTTGAACCTAAAGGCATCAATTATATGTGAATAAGGATTATTATGGTGGGTAAAAAAAAAATTCTTTCTTTTTCTTTTCCAAGAACGAGGAAACAACATACATCTTCCCTTTGAATTTTGACAAGTAAAATCTTAGAGACACCCAAGGATGAGATATAATCCTCCCTTTACAATATAAAAACGTAACTAAAACTGCTCTAACACCTGTTGCACAAAGAAACGCTTGAGAAATATTACCTTATAAATTGACCTTGTAACTGGATACATGATCATTCTTTTGACTAAAAAGAGTTAAATCTTGACCTAGAGGTAACTTGGGAGCATGTATAGGACAAACCTCAAGTTGAAACCCCAGGATGGAAATTTGAACATCAAACACTAACTAAAAAGGACATCATTTCCACATAACTATTCTTATTAAATATAAATGAGATGTTACATGATTGTGTACATAAAACCATTTCCACCTTTAATGCATTAACTTAGTAAATGGCACAACATAGTCAATTACAAGGTTGGCATTCAAGACGTAGAGTACCATAGGGAGATCAAGACTTCCCCTTTATATGCCTCATCAATGGAAAAGAACAGAACCATACTCTGATTGTTGTAATTGAAAGAATGGGAGTCATAGAAGACAAGAATTAGCCCATATACATTAACAAACACACCAACAATTTCTGTTCTTTTCCGTTTCACTAATCTAATATTCCAGTTTCAAATGACAAACCAAAAAAATCGTTCACTTCAACTACTATAAAACATTAAAGAATAATTTGACAGGCTATGGTGTGTCTAGTGACTACGGACCCAAAAATATACATCCCCTGAAAGATAAGATACATGGACAAAGAGAATCCCAACTGAAACAGAAAACCCAACAACAGGCTTAACAGGAAGATAAGTAAACAACAATACACCAGCAATAACATACCTAAAACACACTATTTACAGATAGAAAAAAAAAAAAGTAGGACTCAAACAAAGGGTTCTCATACTGACCTGACATTGTCTCCATTTGTCTGAAACAAATCAGGCTTTGATCCAAGCTTCATAAACTTCATTGTGTCAAGAAGGAGATCTTTTCACCTCTGAGATGTCAATACCCAACTTCTGCCAATTCAGCAAATTCACTGTGACCCCTGGTCCAAATCACATACACCTCAACAAGAAGCAGGGATAACAAATTCCAGGGCAAGAATAGGAAGACCTCAGAAATTGATATTGGATTATTCCTGGATGTTACCAAATTACTGCGGTTAAAAGACAGATAGGATGTATCAAGGGAGGAAGATGATCTATTATCTTGTATGACCGAAGCTTTTCCACAATTCAAGGCAAGAGAGAGAGAGAGAAAGAGAGAGGAATTTGGGTGATGGGTTTTAACAAATTGTTCTCTTGAATGGGAAGAGAGTCACTGAAGAGTTTGCTTCCTTGCTTGGTAGCAGAGCCCGACGACCCCGGGCACAAAGGGTCAGTCAAGGAGACATAGCCAACAAACTCATTACTCCCAAATACTAAATAGATCTGGAAACCAGAGAGCCCCACTTGCTTACCACTGACATCACTGCCACTCCCCTTATTTTATACCCAAAACCTATTTAAAAGCCAAACCCCATAATCCACATTTTCCCACAAATCTTATCTCACCAATGGAGTTGGGACCTCACCTGCCACGGCAAAACATCATCTTGGTTTGAGTTGAAGAGAGCACAAAATTAGTGAATGTAGACGACAAGCATCAAGTTTCGGAAAATCATCAAAACATATGTACATATGACAAGACCAGCAATAATACCAAGAAAGATGTTTCCAAGTGGTAGTACAAATTGAAAGAAAATGCTCAACACGATACATCAAAATTAGAACACAAACCAATCCAACAGCAGAGTTAACAAAACACTAAAAACCCTATTAGCAGACCTCATAGTCAGCATTGAAACACATTCCAAAAGCACCTTCACAGGTAGCCCGATGAAGAAAATGGTTTAAAATCCAAAAATAAAAATAAAAAAATCATCTCCTTACCATGTGAAAGTCTACAAGGAAACCCAGATTTATATATTTTCAAACATGAACGCAACACAAATACCACAGAATTAAGGCAAGGCTATAGAAGATGAGAGAGAAACAGAGGGTGTCCTACCTGAGTGATCTCCAGAACTAAGAAGCTGTTAAACAAACCCCCAAAGCTTTAATGCAATCACCCAAAATTTCAAGCTTTGCTAATGCTATGTATAAAGAGTCACTACCAGAGGACAAGAACAGCACACATGGAGTGTCTGAGGATTAGTACAGTAGTACTATAAGTATAAGCTGAGGGAGAAAAACCAAGAGAACCCCACCACCAGTACCCATCAAAGAAAAATCACGCCAAAAAAAAAAGCACAAGAAACCACCATCAAAAAAGATGACTTGTCTCTGATCTTTGCCGGCCACCACAGGGACATCATGTTCCTTTCATAAAAAGCCAAGCTCAGAATGTTCCCCACCTTCTCCATAGAATCACCATTACCGCCCCCACCACCCACATTTCTCACCTCTACTTCACCTAAAATTTCAATGCCGAGAATCAAAAAAGTTAAACGCATTGGTAACATGTGCTATATAGATAGCGATATTTTTCGACCAATCATAATTATGAACAACTCAACTCCCCTTCAACATAGGGCCGATTGGTTAACGAGAATTGGGGCATGACAGCTTTATTTTATCACCAACTTGTGGCTTTGTGAAAAGCTCTACTCAACTAGGAGGGTAATTCTCAAGGGAAAATCTACAGTGTCCAAAAATTGTGTATTATTAGTTTTTTTTTTTTTTTTTTGGGTTATAGCACATTCAATCTTTTACCGATTACTCTCACAAACTTAACCGCTAATCACCTGAGAATAGATTAAATCGAGACCTTTAAATTACCAAAGAACATATTCAACCACTAAACAACCCTTAAAAATTGATATTATTAGTTTTGTGTTGTGTATAACTAAATTCATTTTGAACCATTTACTAACATGTCTTTTAGATCAAATTGGTTAGAAATCACATTCATTAAAACTAACTCATATCGGATAGCTTCAAGTCGATTTCATTTAGGCTTGTTCAAATCATATTCCCAAAAATAAATTGTTAGTCCTAGTTAAAATAATTATATTCCCAAAATAAATCAAAAAATATCTTGAATCCGTAGAGAAATGTTTGTTTAGTGGTAAGTAACTAATTCAGGGCAACCAATGCTTGCTGGTTAATTTCGTTATGAAATTATTAAATGAAGAAAAGGCTGATTCTTCTTTGTATTGTAGGGAGACATGGCCACTAATGCCTATGCCCAACCCCAACCCCAACCCAAGTGCCATTAATTTTGTGTTCATGAATGATAGTCGGTGTATTAAAGTGCGAGCTTGAGCTTGAATATGTAAGTAAATGTTGCTTTCTCCACCGTTATGAGCCAGGGACCATGGTCGTTAATCACCCAAAAAAGAGTGTCGGAGAAAAAAAATACTAAGTAATGCGATATTTATGGTGGTATAAAAAACAATTTTATGTTATGAAGTAATACTGATACCCTTTTCTCGACTGGATTTTCATTTTATAGGTAGCGGTGTGGCACTTAATTTTATTAGACAACAAAAATAGATCAAAAAAAAATATCTTTTGATATCGTTTTAGCAATCCTTAAAAATTTTGGATAGAAAATTTAACGATTATACTTTGGTGTAAAATAAATGAAAATTTTGTATGGATTTTCTAACTATTGGAAGATAATGTGTAATTTGATCAAATCACACGACGATAATCTATAATTTATTTATATATAAAAAAAAAGGATAAATCTCAAATTGCACCCTGAAAAATCTTTTGAATCTCAAATTGTACCTTCAAAGATTAAAAATATCAAATCACACCCTCAAAGATATAAATTCGTATCATTTTACACCTAAGGCTAACAGTCATCCACTTTTTCCGTCTAAACCAAAGTCACGTGAGTTAGAGGTGGGAGGGGCATGGGCTTAAGTGTAAAATCACAGCCCCATATGATGAGCTTTTCTTGAGGAAAACCTCAGTCGTAACATACAAAATAGAGACGGGCAGTTGTTCACCTTGAAGATCATAGAGGTAGAGATGCGCAGCTGTTCACCTTGAAGATCTGCAAAATGTCTTGGATAGTTAGAGAATACAACAACAATTTATGCACCGGAGATACGCCAGATTATGGTAAGGGTTTTCTTTCTCTGTCTCTGTTTTTATTATATTGACACTGTACATCATTGTTTTTTGTTTTTCTGTTTGTGTGACTTTGATTCTTAGTTTTTTTAATCTTTCTCAAATAGTTTTCCCATTTGTTTAGTCCAAATGGTTCTTGCCATTAGTTTAATCAAAAAAATACATATTGTATTTTGCCTTTTGACTTTTGACTTTTGCGTTGATTGTGATTTGAAAATGATTCTTGTTTTGTTTGTTTATCTGAGAGTGTTTTGGGAACTTGGGTGGTCCTATTTTTATATTGGATGTGGGGTTATGGTTTTCCTTGACTTTTTTCTCTTTGGAGGCTTTTTTTTATTTGCTTTTTAAATTTTTTTATGCAGGTGATGATTCTAGATATTTCACAATTAGAATGCATCACAGTGGAAAATTTGATGGTTGTGGTGATAAAGTATATATTGGTGGAAGAGTGAATAGTATTGATATGTGTCACTTTGATCAAATTTCTCTTATAAAGTTGGACAACATGCTAAAGAATATTGGAGTTGGTTATAATCAAATTACCATATTCTATCAGAGAATAGGTAATGGATGGAGAGCTTTGGAAAATGATCAACATGCTATGGACTTGATAAAATGGGTTGACAAGGTTAAAGTGGTTGATGTATATGTGGAACATATTAGGCAAGAATTGTTCAATCATAGTCAAGCAGATTCTAATTGTGGTCCATCAGAAAAAAGATTTGGGAGCCAAAATATACATGTGTCTGAACAAGAAACCAATTTATGGGGTCCTAGGGTTCCCACTGAGAGTTATAGGTCCTCTGAAAGTGATGCTTCTGATAGTGATTCATATTCCAAGGGTTCAGATTTTGAGTTTGAAGATTTGTATGATAGTGAATATGATGTATATGATAAATATTTGCATGAGACAATTGTTGAGAGTGACAAAGGTGAAAGGTTTGACAAACCAAAAAGGAAAGGGGTTCAGATTGAGACAGAGACAATACAAGAGCATGAATGTGGCATAGGAGGTGAAGATTGTGAATCTGATGAGTTACGAAGTTTAAGTGGCTCATCATCCGATAATGATGAAACAAGGCATCACAGGAAGAAGTATCCACAATTTAATGCTAAGAGTGACATGGTTGATCCACATTTTAAGCTTGGGATGTTGTTCAAAAATTCAGTTGAGTTTAGAGCGGCAGTAAGGCAACATGCAATTAAATGGGGGAAAAAATATGATTTTCTAAGAATGAGAGGTATAGAATCAGAGCGATATGTAGGTCAGGGTGTGATTGGATGATTTATGCTTCAAGATTGGGTTTAGAAAATACTATGCAGGTTAAAACATACAATGGTTCACATAGTTGCACTAGGACTTTTAAAGTTAAGCATGCTTCCTCTGACTGGGTTGCAGATACATATTCTGATAGACTTAGATCAAATCCCACTTGGCCCATGAAGTCATTAAAGGAAACTATTGAGAAGGAACATGTTATCAAATTGGATAGATGTCTGGTATATAGAGGTAAAGAAAAAGCAATGACAATGATGAATGGAACTGATAAGGAGCAGTTCAGCCTCTTATGGGATTATTGTGAAGAGTTGAGAAGAACAAACATTGGCACAACCTGCATTATTAAGACAAAGGCTCTGGGAGGTGACAAATTCATGTTCAAGAGGTTGTATATATGTTATGGGGCATTAAAAAGGGGATTTCTTGAGGGTTGTCGACCCATTATTGGTTTAGATGGGTGTCATTTGAAGGGGTTACAAGCTGGTGTTTTGTTGTCAGCAGTGGGAATCGATTCAAACAACCAAATATATCCTTTTGCATTTGCTGTAGTAGAGAAAGAAAAGAAGAAATCCTGGTCATGGTTTCTTCAACTTCTGAAACAGGATCTTTGCATTGTTAACACTCATAGCTGGACTTTTATGTCAGATAAGCAAAAGGCAAATGCCTTTCTAATTATTGTTTATCACTTTTTTTGCAAATGCCTTTCTAATTATTGTTTATCCTAGTCATATTTTTTGCACATATGTTAAACTACCAATTTTTTTTACAGGGACTACTTGATTCAGTTGAGAGCCTTTTTCCTAATGCTGCACACAGGTTTTGTGTAAGGCATATGTACAACAATTTCAAATCTGAACATAAGGGTTTAGCATTGAAAGACTTATTATGGAGGGATGCTAAAGCAACAACGGTGACAAATTTTACCAGGATTATGGATGAACTGAAAGAAGTTGATGCAGCTGCATACAATTGGTTGTCTGAGAGACCAGCAATTAATTGGTCTAGATCCCATTTTAGTTCCATTCCCCAGTGTGATATGCTGCTTAACAATTTATGTGAGAGTTTTAATGGTTGCATTGTTGAAGCTCGGGATAAACCTATAATCACAATGCTAGAAAAAATAAGATTGTGGTTAATGGAAAGGTTGCATCATCAAAGGGATTCCCTAAAGAATTATAAAGGATCTATTTGCCCTAATATTCAAGGTAGATTGGAGGCAATTAAAGTTGAATCTTCTGGTTTCATACCATATTGGAATGGGGGTGATCAATTTGAGTTAGTTGGAATGGGTGGTGAACAAAGGACTGTTGATGTGAAGAAGAGGACATGTAGTTGTAGGAAGTGGGATTTAACTGGAATCCCATGTAAGCATGCAATATCTGCTATTAGCTTTCTAGGATTTCAACCAGAAGATTATGTGGCTCAGTGGTGCAAGGTGGAAACTTTTATCATGTGTTATAGCCATCTTATTAATCCTATAAATGGAAAAGAAATGTGGCATAGAACATGTAATTCACCTTTGCTTCCTCCAATTGTAAGCAGGAGACCGGGCAGGCCTAAGAAAGTTAGGAGGAGAGAGATTGATGAACAACCAAAAGGTTTCAAGTTGATGAGGAAGTATAAGCCTGTTGTGTGGTCAAAGTGGCCATAACAAAAGAAAGTGTAAAAAACAAACAGTTACACCAGATACACTAGCAGTTACGCCAGCACCAATTACGCCATCAATTGATGTCAGCACATCTGCATTCTCAATTACAAGAGCAAAAATGAAGTTGCCAGTAAGTGCAACACTAATTTTCCTTTAAGTTTGTTAGAAATGTTGAATGTATAGTTGAACTAAGTTAATGTTAATTATTTCTAGGTTTGAAGGAGAAAATTTTCAACAACACCAGCTTCATCAGCATCAGCATCTGTACCAGTAACATCATTTGTGCCTGCAACATCATGTATACCAACACCAGTACCATCACACATGAAATGGAGGCCACCAACACCATCATCAACAACATGGAGGCCACCAACACCATCTTCATATGCAACACCAACTTCATCATCAACATCATGGAGACCACCAACACCAACTTCATCATCAACATCATGGAGGCCACCAACACAATGAAGTATAATATTGAAACTTTTTGAAATGAATTTTTTTTGTGGATTTATCTTTAAACAGTGTTTGGCTGTAAGTTTTTGGGATGATTTCTGACTAATGGTTGGAAATCTACTTTTGGACCATATTTATGTAGAATATTGGAATTTGGTGGATGAAATATACTTTTGGATCATATTTATGTAGATGCATTTTCTTTCATTTTACAAATTTATGTCTTTGTAGGTGTAAATTAAATTTTTTTAAATTTGAGGGTATAAGTTAATATTTTTAAACTTTAAGTGTACAGATTAAAATTTGAGAGATCTTTTGGGGTATAATTTATAATTAACCCTTATTTTTTTCAAATATATCAGAACGTCAGTGGAGGGAAACAAGATAATTTTTATCTTGGCGCCAAAAATATGTGATTTTACACTTAAGCACATGCCCCTCCCACCTCTAACTCACGTGACTTTGTTTTAGACGGAAAAGTGGATGATTGTTAGTCTTAAGTGTAAAATGATACAAATTTATATCTTTCAGGGTGTAATTTGATATTTTTAATCTTTAAGGGTGTAATTTAAGATTTAGAAGATCTTTCAGGGTGCAATTTGAGATTAAAAGAAAAGATAAGGGTACGTTTGGTAACGTTTTTATTTTATATTTTTTTATTAAAAAAAATATAAATAATTTTTATTTTTTTGTGATAAAAATTAAAAATATAAAATATGTTTAATAATCATATATATTTAAAAAATTATAAAAATAAAAATAAAAAAACATGTTTGGTATTGTACAACAAATTCACTGTGCAACACCACCGCCATCACTAACCACCAAACACCCAACCACCTACCACAAACCAAACATTCACCATCACCGCTGAAACCCACTCCCAAAACCTTTTTGCTAAACCCAGTAACCCCATCACCACTGAAACCCACCCCCACCCCCATCCCTTGAAACCCACCACCACCCAACCTCACCCTCATCCCCAAAACCCACCACCACCGAAACCTATCCACATCCCCTGAAATCCAGCACCACCCAGCCCCACCACCACCTCTTGAAACCCACCCCCATCCCCAAAAACCACCTCCACTGAAACCCATCCCCATCCCTTGAAACCAAGCACCACCCAACCTCACCACCATCCCCAATACCCACCACCACCCCTTGAAACTCACCCCCAACCCCTGAAAGCCATAACCACCCAATCCACCCCTATCCCCAAAAACCACCACTTAAACCCACCACCGCCCAACCCCACCACCACTACCAAAATTCACCACCACTCCCTAAAATTCATCACCACCACCAAAATAGAGAAGGTTGAGATGGAAATCTTCATTGGAGATGGAGATATCGCTGGAGCTGGAGGAACTTATTCGTCAGAGTTGGAGAGGTTTAGTGCTTGTTCGAAGAAATTAGTAAAATGCATTTTCTTGGCATTTATATGGTAAGGAAAAAAAAAGATATTTTATTGTGGAGAAAGTTTGAAGTCCGGACCTCATTTAATGGGAAAATGGGAGTTACCGCTTGTTTGGGTTTTTTGATGTTTTCTAAAATATCATTTTAGATGTTTTCAAATTTTGGCATTGTTTTTAAAATAGAGTAATAAAAAAATAAAAACATTTACAAAACGTATTTTTATTTTTATTTTTCACAAAAATAAAAATAAAAAAAACAAAAACAAGGTATTACCAAACATAACCTAAGTAATTGTTAGAGTTTTTTGGGATGGATACAATTTTTTAGACTTATTTGAGTAAAAGTGTATAGATAAGTTATTTATTCTATGAAGTACAATTTTTATAAAAAATTTTGTGTTAAGGTACAAAATTCAAAATGAATTAAAATTTTTTTTATCTAAACACCCTTCCTTAATTTATACCGTCATCATTAATAGTTATTTGAAAAAACAAATATGTAAAGATTAATAATAATACTGTGAGATAAAATAGGAGTTTACAAAAAGTGAGAGAAAGAAAAAATAGAAGTATTTCGTGTTAAAAGATGAAGATGAAGTGAAATTGTATATATATATCGTCTCATACTACCAACCTTGCTTCCACGTCATCTGACCAAATGGAATAAAGTCTTTTACTATGATGATTGATCAAATCCTGATTTTTTTCTCAAAAAAAAAGAGAATTGATCAAGATGTTTTGTTAGATATTATATATTGTTCGTTGTTGTTGGAATGTAAGAAAAAAAAACTTATTTGTTTTTTTTTAATTGGTGTAACTGTTTTTTAATGGGTATAACTATTTTTTTAATGAGTGTAATTGTTTTTTAAATGGTGTGTAACAATCACAGTCTCATGCTAAGGCATGATGGTGTATTGATGTTGCAATACTAAATTATGCAACAATTTAGTTTATGTAAACAATTGATTGACAAATTAGGTTATTGTCATAATTTTGTGTAACTATTTAGTTTATTAGAACGCATAAATAATTGTTTGGTGTATTATAAGACAATTGTAACTGATTAATGTAATTGTATTGTTGTAATATTAATATAAATAGAGTAAGAGAAAATATAGAGAGAGAGAGAGATAAATTGTTAGAAAAAATATACTTCTATTTTACCTCCTATTACTTGATTGTAGCCAAAAAAAAAGGGAAAGAATACAAAAGGGTTTCCATCTATATGTTGTTTACCGATGGCAATAGTGACATTTTTAAAAAATATTCACTTTTGTTCCAAATAAGTTTTAAATAAGTTTTAAGCTGGTACTTTTGCCCAAATAAAATTTAAAAAATTGTACAGACTCCTAAATTCCCATAATTGTTACCATGTTGGGCTCAAACTAGCTACCCAGTTTGTGCTCTGACCCAGAAATATGGGCCAAGGAAGGGCCCTCGAGGCCTTCTGAGCCCAATTCAATCACCGCGTCCGTGAAACCTATATAATGATTAACGTCGTTTATGTTTTCCTCATCAAATTCCTAACTATTGTTTCAGTCTATAGATTTTAGGGTTTTCTGATGAACAATTCTTCCAGATGTTTTGCTCAATCGAGATGGTGAATTTAGATTTTCCGATGAACAATTCTGTGGTCCACATGATTCAAAAATGGCGACTGGTGTTTGTTGATTCACAGAGTCAAGATCAAACAGTCTAACAGGATGGACTCTAGGCACACAGGAGAGACATTGAAGTAAATCCTACGTAAACCGTGTTCCTTAAGTTTGATTTTTAGGTCATACATATGTAGGTAGGTGTACGGAGGTAAAACTTGTTTTCGTTTAACCTAATGTTGTACGCAGGCATTTGGAGAAGCAGAACGAGCTCCTTATGGATGCCTATAGATCTATGTCACACGAATTGCATAAACTTCAGGTTTTTCTTTCAATCTTTAATTTGATTTCTGCTATCTTTATCTGCATCACTGTATATATGTAGAGTATATGCATTACATGGATATTGTGGGCCGATATTTTTTTTCAAAATTAAAAACTTGATACACATTAATCTATCCGAACATGAAGAAATGAGGAAGATGTGGATGGCCCAGTGTCATTGTCATTATCCCAACCGCAATTGATTGTGAATTCTAGTGTGCTACAATTCTCCTCCCCTGTGTGGATGTGATAAAACTTGTAATTAAAAGCTGACAGAATGCGTGGAATAGCCTATTTTTTTATTAATGACAGTTCTTATTGTGTCTCCCAGTTCGTATATCTCTGTACAAGTATAGTTCTACAATTAACTCTATGGGTAATATAAGTTGACATGTGAGCTTATTGTTATGCACAAAATTTAGGTATAATTCCTCAAAACTTTCATCTGATAGTGTGTTTTTGCACTACACAAATATGTTCGAGAATATCAATTTGTGTTGGGAGTAGTGAATGTTAGTGATTTATATTTTGTAGGTGGAGGAAGAAATTCTCATGCGCAAGTTCTACGAAATGATGTCAGCCCAAGGACTAACTAAAAAGGTATGCTGATCTGTAGTTTGCACTTTCATGCCGGAGATCCATATCATGTATATACTTACAATTAGTCATGTTTTTTCCTGATAATCACAGTTAATCATATTTCTTACAACCGTTAGGAAACCATGTTTCACCTACATAAGTATGTGTATTAATTGCGCCTTCCTCCTTCCCCATGAACAATAAACAGGATAATAGATCAGAGTTCTTTTTTTCTTTCTTATTTATCTGTAAGAAATGTATATTTTTTTCGTGAGGTTGATTATGGAAAAGTCTGGCAAGTTGCTTTGAAAATCTAGAGATAACCCATTGTTATTGGCAAATGCACCTAGACCTCAAATCGATGCCTCTAGCCCTAGTTATGGTGGTAAGTGGTTGTGGAGAGGAACCGTATGTACAGATAATAGATACCAATATTTTGCTGGATAAATAACCTGAACTCACTTCAGGTGATCCCCATGTTGAACTGGAAGACTGGCTTCTGCCACATCTGATGTTTATTGGTGCATCGACACATCTTCTTTATTAATATTCTATTTGGTATGATCGATGCTACTTTCCAAAGTATATTCAAGGTGACTTTATGGACATCTTTTTCACACTTGAAGGGAGTTGAGTAACGTCCGGATCTTTCTCATTTGTGTGTGACTCCATATGTCTCAGTATTTATCCTTTGAAGATCGACTATCAATCGTAGCAAAAAAAATTCAATTTTGTTTAGTGAGATTATGGAAATGGTAACTGTAATGAAGCTCCACATATACAAGTGTGTAAACAGTTTGCTGCCATGTTTTACAGTGATTCAAGTGTCCATGTTGTTATAATAGTTTATGTTTATCACAATGAACTTTGCTCGATTGTAGTGTCTTGGACATCTTGGCTGTTGTCTTCCATTCGCTTTTGCAGCCTTTTTGGCAGGTGGTTTATACAGAAGTGCATGTGCACCATGTCCTTCATACTTTCGACCATGTTAGGATTTATATTCTAGATGGCATATGTTTCTTATTATTTTATCTTGATATTTTTGTCGTATGAAATTCTTATATGGCTAATTTGAGTTTCCATTTGCCCTTCTTGTAGAGTCCAGTTTTACAAAACAAAAAAGGGCATTGAACAAGATGAAATTGCTAACTACAGTCCTCACGTTTGTTATTGATGCCACTTCAATGGGTCTTGTTTCTCACAATCAAGAAAGGTGCTTGAAGTTTACACTGAAATATGTAGAAATTCATCATCTTCCAATAAAGGCAATATTTCCATGACCAGTTGCAGTTTAAAGAGGAAGACTTGAAAGTACATTTCTCTTCCGAAGAGATATATACCACTAAATTACTAAATCTAGTCCTAAAATGTTCCTGTGAAGCTTTCCCATCTCCGCCTGAAGCTTATAATCCTGCCAATGATCTGTTTGATTTCACAATTGAATAAACCTTGGGCTTTGAATACGCAACGCTTTTTGTTAGTACAGTGAAGCCAGGTCTGATTTGATTTTGGCATTTGGCATCCAGACACCTCCTGAAACAGACTTCAGGAGAGAGGACACTTTCCACTACATCTGATCATGCTAGAGCCAGTTGTCCATCATGGCTGTTGAAGTATTAATTTCAGCAAAGATTGAATTCAGAGCGCCAAGCGACATTAAATGCTTCTAAACCAGAAGAATTTCCTGCATTCAGAAAATTCATGGGAATGGTGATTTAGCTGTTGACAGCAGACCATGATATACTACTAGGTGCAGTTGGTTTTATTTATTGGTGGGCAACTTTCGTTGGTGCTGGTGCCTGTGGCAGCGCCTCTGGAGGCGCCCCCCATTCTGGAGCCAGCGGGTTCTGAATGACCTCCCTCTCACGGTTTCAAAAGTGGTTCCATCTCAGAAAAAATCCATGTCATCCGTAGATGGGTTAAAAAGCAGGACACTGAGTTGTTACCGTGACTGACTTTTGTACTTTGTCGGTATGAAGTTAGTCAGACATGGAGACAGAGGAACACACAACTTAATATGATGTTAGCATCTCTTGGAGAGATCTTCCCTTAAATAAAGAGAGAAGCAAACGAGCATGAAAGCAGCGAGGACGGAAGTTGGAAATTGCAGCATGCTAGAGCACTGCTTGAACCTGATTGATTGTATTATATTTTTTTGAAACTTGAAAGGATTCCATGTTTGAAGAATATGTGAAATTTCTGTTGGATAAATGACAGTTACTATAAAAGATCTTTTTCCATGATAAGTGCAGTTCATACAAGAGTTACAGTGATTGAAATGTGAAACAGTTATGGTATAATTTGGTAACAATTTGTTAGAGCCCTTTTTTTCCTTTTTTTTTTCCTTTGTTGGTTATGTGAAGAAAATTTTAGAGTAAATTATACATATAACCCTCAAACTATGACTATTATATCAATTAAGTTTTTAAATTTTCTTTTGTCAATTGAGACTCTGAATTCACTAATTGTATTAATTGAGACCCTGAACTTTTTAATTGTATCAATTGAGTCTTTTTGTTTGCCTCCGTTAGATTTTCTAATAGAAGCGGTGAAGTTTATCACTCACCTTATACAAATAAATTAGAGTAAAGTGCACATATGACCTTCAAACTATGACTTTTATGTCAATTAAGTCCTTAAATTTTTTGTATGTTAATTGAGCCCTTAAACTTTCTAATTGTGTTAATTGAATCCACATAATCAGAGAATGCAGAGTTCAATTGACACAAAAAAAATAAAATTAGGAGTTTAATTGACACAAGGGTCATAGTTTGAGGGCCATGTATATAATTTACTCAAAATTTTATATAGTTTTTGCCGGATCTAATAAACTGTTGATTAACGTTTGAACTCTCTTTCATGCCCTATCAAGGTTTTACATTGTCTGGTTAATGTTGAAATTTCATGTCCCAAAAAAAAAAATGTATTTGGGAGTCATCAGAATATTTTACTTGAATTCTTTAAAAAAAAGTCATCGATTAGTCCAGAAGTAAAATAGAATATGAAACTTTACACACTTTTATTTTCCTCTGAATAACAGAATGTTTACATGTGACAAAGCAAGAAATTTGAGGCCAAGTCCACCTACAAAATCTCTTGCTGGAGGAAGCAGTTTTCTACTTGCTGACTGACTGGAAATTCTATCTAAAAGATGCTTGAGAAGCTCAATGCTGGTGCAATTTACATGGAGGATCCCCAAAATACCAACCAAAATGAGAAGGAAATTTGGAATCTTACAACATGCTGTAGATACTGGTAGTCAGATACCAAATTTCCATCTCATGCTTTCGGTTTTCTAGACAACCAAACAAGTGTAATTACATCCTATGCAACAATGTCTATTACTTCAGAAAGCTACAATGCTAAGAATATGAACCTTAAAGCTCTTTTAACAAGGTTTCTTCTGCATTTAGTTTGAAATGTAGTAGCATCTCTGTTTCATGTACTTCCCACAGGGATCTTCTTTAACCCTGCTGCAATTGGCATGCCTAAAAATCCAATAAACAAGCTAACGAACCACTGTACGAATGTGAGGGGTGATGTGTTTGCAAAATCACCCAGGTACTCCACAATTATGAACTGGAAGATGACGGTGCAACTGAGAACAGACACAAAAACATGGTTGTCCAGTATGCCTTCAAAGACATCTATTTTTTCCATCTCCCGGGAGCTTATCTCATTAAAAACCTGCAGAACAAAATCAAGATTAGTAACAATAATGCCCCACTTAAACACATGACTTGCTGAGAATGAGTTCCAAGTGATTGTCTCTGGAAGGTACCTGACAGAAAACAAACGTGTTGAAAATGAGTGTGTTAAGGATCAGGTCGGAATCAGTGCCATTAAGGCCAAATAGTGCCTTTCCTTTTGACTGAAGAAGAGATAGCACCAAGAACTGGTATAAAGATTGCCCCAATATATTTCTCCACATAACATTACTGATGAAATTTCCCTTCCTTCCAACTGGTGATCTCTTCATTAACTCTTCATTTGGAGGCTCAGTTGCTAGTGCAAGTGCTCCTAATGTATCCATAATCATGTTGACCCACAAAAGCTGAACCGCTGTTAGGGGACCCTTCCCTGAAACACGATTGGAAGTAAAAACATAAGAAGAAATGATACATGGTTTTGGTTGGTTACTATGTTTATTTTTTCCTTGTTGAAGAAGATTGAGGATTGCAAAATAGAAAAGGATTTTATGCAGGCTTCTTACCTGTCAAGCAAGCTGAAGAGAAGTTGACAATCAAAGCAACCATATTGACAGTCAGCTGAAACTGCACAAATTTTTGGATGTTTATGTAGACTGACCGTCCCCATTTGGTCACAGTCACAATTGTAGAGAAATTGTCATCTAGAATTATGACATCAGCGCTCTCTTTAGCCACCTGGATATTTAAGAATAAGATTTCTCATTTTTGTACTTTGAAATGATTATGACGAAAAAAATTTGCTCAAGATCTAATTTTGTAACATTTCAAAAGCTCTTAATAAACCCATAAACCCATACCAAGGTTGAGCCTCAACCTACTAAGAGGGAAAAGTGCATATTGATGTTTGTTTTCTGGTAAGCTAAAATTGCTGGGCATGGTACTTTTCTGCGTTGCACTTGCGTGTCACCACAATTGCAGCAACAAAAAATCATCATTGTTTGAAAAATCAACTTTACAACCTAAGTGCACACATGCTGTGCTGATTCATAAACATGTTCCGTGGCAAAAGACTAAGATTTAATCTGGAAACCCCTTCTAAGACTCGAATATGCATGATATGTCAAGTCCTTTATAAAACTGAGTGTTAACATGACAGCAAGCAAGCAGGCAACTTCATCCTTATAGTTCAAGAGAAAGCTATATTTCTTAGTAGTGTTTAAAAATGCATCAGATATTAGATCTCCCAAAAGTGCAGGAAGAACAAAGATACATTGAATGAATGCCTAATATCAACACGATGAGCCAAGTGGGCCATATTTAGGAGTGCAATTATTTGCAAGGGACATTTTCATGTTTATGCAATGTAAGTATGATCAAAGAGGCACTAGGAGACGTCTAGTATGCTGACCTCAGTTCCAGCAATGCCCATTGCAAGTCCAATATCTGCTTCATGGAGTGCTGGGGCATCATTCGTTCCATCACCAGTCACAGCAACAACTTCATCAAACGTTGTTCGCAAGTGCTTTACTAGCATATGCTTGTCTAGAGGTGAAGATCGAGCCATCACCTATAAAACAGATAAAAATTGAAACACATAAGATAATCTCGCCTTACAACAGTATCTTATATCTAATAAACCTGCGAAAAGAACCTGAATTTTAGGGATTAGTTCGTGCAGTTCCTCCAGACTCTTCTCTCGAAAAACTGGACCCTCTATAGCAATGCCGTCATCAGTAAGTATCCCACATTCCCTGGCTATAGCTTTTGCAGTATTAATATTGTCTCCGGTAACCATTCGAACAGTTACACCAGCTGAACGACAAAGTGCAACAGAGTCCTTTACACCAGGGCGAACAGGGTCCTTGATACCCACTATTCCTATGCAGGTATACCCTGAAACTGGAATAGGATCATCAGCAGAAAATCCATTTCCCAGTTCCATAAAGGCAAGACATAGAGTCCGAAGAGCTTCGCTAGCAAATTGATCAATTGTAACCTTGAGATGGGTCATGGATGCTTCGTCGAGAGGAACAACCTCACCATTTGAATTGATCACCTTGTCACAGGCAGCCAAAATTATTTCCGAAGCACCTTTACAGTGAGCTCTAAGACCTCCTTCAGGAAGCTCCAAGACCACCCCCATTCGCTTCTTTGTTGAGTTGAATGGTTCAACTTTGACAAGTTTGGATAACTGTCGCTCTGCCTGAAAATCTCCACCCAGAGACAAGCCAAACTCCAATAAAGCAGTCTCCGTTGGTGTTCCCAGTATCTCATGTTTTCCTTCCTTGTTGACCACCACCTCTCCCCCCGTGTTATTAAATATAGACTGTAGCAGAATTTTGACTACTGATTCTGGGATTTCAGAGCTCAGAGTAGAACCATTGCCTGATTTGCTCACTTCCTTGGCATTCATACAAATGCAGGATTTCACGACGGTCATGTGATTGGTAGTCAGTGTCCCTGTTTTGTCACTACAAATTGTAGTTGCAGATCCCATCGTCTCACAAGCTGCCAGATGGCGGACAAGAGCCTTATCGTTCATCATCTTCTTCATGGCAAATGCGAGGCTCAATGTCACAGCTAGAGGCAGTCCCTCAGGAACTGCAACAACAACAATTGTAACTGCAATTGCAAAATATTGCAACATTTCTAAAGCATCATCTCCAGACAAGCTCCAGAAGGTTCCCAATTCCAGTTTACGAGCAAACATCTTTTGCAATAAAACTGCAAAAGTCACTACAGCAAACAGAAGGCCTATTTTTCCAATAATTGTTGCCACTCCATTCAATTTTACCTGCAGAGGCGTCTCGTCATCTCCCCCTTCACTAAGAGTTGCCATCAATTTACCCCATTGGGTTTTCATCCCAACAGTGGTAACCATCATCTTGCATGATCCATCTTGGACCTTAGTTCCAGACAGCATAAAGGGATTTTCAGCATTGACCATTACTGGCTCACTTTCTCCTGTCAGACTTGATTCATCAATTAACACAGAAAATCCTGAAACAAAGAGTCCATCTGCTGGGACTTGGTCTCCAATAGAAAGATGTACAATATCACCAGGAAGCAAATCATATATTGACATTTTTTGCCTATATCCATTCCTCGTAACTTGAATAGAGATTTTCTTCTTCTCTTTGTCCAAATCCCTGAGCTGTAAAGACTGCCGATAATCACTTGTTGCTGTGACAAACACCACTAACAAGATGCTTGCAAAGATTCCAAGGCCATCGTGAGCTCCCTTTGGCCATCCTTCCGTTGCCAAGCCAACTATCAAAGACGCAAATGCACAAACACCAAGGATCATGAGGGTCATGTCTTGAAGTGCTTCCCAAACGAAAACAAGAAAACCCCGAGCTTCACGCTCTGTGAATTTATTGATTCCATATATACGTTCTCTGCGCCTCAGCCTGCTTCTTTTGGTAGGAAGGCCACTGATGGTTGATGTAGCAAGCTTATCTGCAATACCAGCTACACCGCCATGAACTTTCAGCTTTTTAAGATCATGACCTTCAACGACGGATCCCAATTCCTCAGCACAAATCTGAAAACCAGCATGTTGAACTTCCTCAGGTACAGTGTAGTCTCTAGCTTGCACACCTGAAAATATTTCGCAGGGAGAGTCATTCTCAAGAACTTAATGAGACAAAACGTAGCTGAAAGTAAATACTGGAAGAAGCTCACCCTGGATGAAGTGAAATGCGGCTTGGGACACAATAACTGCAACTCTCAGCTTCTCCTATTAACATGCAAGTGTGAAAATAGTCAGTCACCTAATTTAAAGACAATCCAACTGTTGTTCCTCATCAACACATCATTACAAAAAAGGAGGCATTAGGAACTTTCTCATCACCCAAATCCAAAAATTTATTGCTATTAGGACTTAATTCGAGGACCTAATACAATGTGTCATTTGGATTAGCAGGGGTCCCAATATTGAATTAACTACATAACTAATTCAATTCGAGCATTTCTGACCACGACTTAAATTTTCGCTCAAATTTAACTCAATATTTGAATAAAAAAATTGATTTGATATAAAGAGTTCTAATGAACAAACTCAAATTTAATAGAAGATAAACTCAAATTTAAAGGAAGATAATCTGATCATTGTTGATTTAAGTAAAGGTTTGCATCTCAGTGAAAATTTGAGTCTCTCTTAATTCGGTTTGAGTTTGGGTCTAAAAAAGAGCAAGGGTTGGAGATGTGATCATCTTCCATGCAGGCCCAAATCCTTAACCCAAATTTGAGTAAAAAAATAGGTGAAAATCTTGATTTGATACGAAGCATTTCAATGAAGAAACTCAAAATTAAAAAGAGACAAACCCGAATTCAAATGAGGTTAAACCCAAATTTAAAATAAGATAAAATATTGGTGATTTAAGTAAAAATTTGAGTCTCATTTGATTTAGTATGCGTTTGAGTATAGTATTGGAGAAGGTTTTTAAGAATTTTTTCCCCGAATTTAAATTTAAGTTTAAAAAAGAATAAAGGATCGGAGATACTTCGGGACAAGTACTAGCACTGTAGTTTTCAAACAAATTATCAAAGCAACAACCAACAATAATTACAAGCACAATCGGCCTACACACACAAGCAAATCCAGGAAAGGAAAATCAGTTGATTGAACATCTGATTTCTCTATGAAGACTATGAACTCAATGAATGCATCCACCCCTGGTCTGGTGCCCATATATTGCTCTTTAAAGACTAGATGAAATGTACAAAAAGTTGAAATTATTTTAGAAACGCATGGGAGTACCTGATTAGTACGGCGCATGGCTGCCGCTTCGTAACGCTTGGAGAGATTGGCGGTGAAACGAAACCTTCGCTTTGGATTCTTCACCAACCCACAAATGCTTCTCCATCTCTGCAACGCCTCCTCCGACGAGTGTTTCGCCTTCACATCCCCAAAATTCTCTTTCAAATAGGTCTCCATTGCAGTTTGTTTTCGTTTCCAATTTCCAAATCAATGAGCGAAACCTTCCAACCACATATAATCTATATATAGATAAAATGTTCAGTAAAAAACAGAGCCTTCCCAGTCTGCAAGAGAACTTTCCCCGACACTTCCATGAATTTGAAAGTCAAGTGCGACACGGAAAAGAAGAAACGGATGTATTTGTACCAAACACTGACCAAAGCAAAAAGACTCTCTCTCTCGCCACAGATATGGAAATGGAGTAAGCAACGAAATAGAAAGTGAGAGGGAAGAAGGAAGGGAAATTGAGTGAGGATCCGAAAATGAAGCTGGGAAGATATATTGTAACGGTCTTTCTTAAACTCCTGCTTATTTGGAGGGAATTGAACTATATTGGCGGGGTCAAATTACTAATATTGATTCTTCATTAATTGATGAAACTTATGAAAGTAATATGTTTCTTTTACCGATAATTTTATGTACACTAAAATTTGTATTAAATCAATTGAAATTGTTAGATTACTAATGGGACCTACTGATCGATTACAAGTAATTTGGTGTACATTTTTTGTGCACATAACATTACTCTGAATGATTAAATTTCTCAAATCATCCTAAAAAAAATAAAAACGTTATAATGTAATTTATTGTCTTATTTTTTATTTAGTTGTTGATCTGTTTTATACCAAATCAATCACAAAATAAATAGACAATCAAATAAATATAAAATGGTGAACCATACTACAATATTTTTTATTTTTTGAGAGAATATTTTTTATATCTTTTCAGAGATAAAATGAAATTTTCATTTATATGCATACAAAAGCGTGGCGACATAAAATAGTTAGTAAAAAGGTGCAAGTTTTAATTAATCGTTTTTCTTTTCTTTTTTTTAATTTTTGGAAAGTGGACCTTTTTTTTTTATTTGTGGTCCTTACGTTACGCGTTTAGAAACCGCGGAAAAGACCGAGTGAGATTTGTCAGCCGGAACATATTCCGAGTACACCACTGCAACGTTTGACATTAAAAAACAGGAGAATTACGTTCAAACTTTCTTAAATATCTCACTTAACCACTTGAATACTCAAATATTTAAATTATTACGTGAGATTTGTACACATATAACACTTAAAATTCTATTATTTAGTATATTTATTAATAAATTATATTCAGACCCCCTATAATTTATTGACATATTATATTTAGACTTCTCAAGTTTAAAATATTATATTTAAACCAAAAATAATTTAATCAAAGATAACCAAAATTTATGTTCTATTATGAGATTTATTGAAATAAAATTAAAAATAAAAATTTAATTTTTAAAAAATCATAATTAGTATACAATTATATTATCTATTTTAATTTAATTTGATCATTTAAATTATTAAATTACCCCTAGTAAAGTTAGAAGATATTGTATTTATTATAATTTAACCTATGGGTGTCAAACGTGTTGGATTAAACGGGTGAGGAGTGAAAAATATGTAAACTCATATACGATACATTTAATAAACAAATGAAAATTTTTACACAAACAGGACCAGTTTTATTGATATTACTTAAATATTGTAAATTTGAAACTCAAATCAGCTTATCAACTGACCACTTGGCTCGGCTCATCGCCAAAGGAAGTTGCAAGGCTATCAAGCCGCTACCAAAAATCAATTGATAAAAATATCGCTCACCTTCAAGGCACATAGAGCTCAACCCTTCAATTGGGTTTCCAATATGAGACCAGAGAAGTGCTTGCCTAGTTGTTGTTCTAATTTTCTATTCTTATTGTATGCATTTGAGCCACATTTTTTTCTTTCAATTTTTTTATTTTTTGGAGTCATCACACTGTTATTATATATACCAAATATTCAATGCTTATTAGTTATTGGTGATTTTTTTATCTTTTTTATTTTATTTACTATAACATAAATTATTAATTCTAGCTAATTTTTTAAAATAATTATTAATTTAATATTATATCAATTTTATTTAAACAGATAAATGAGTGATAAACGGGTTAACAAGACTCACCCGAACATGACTCGTTTATTAAACGTGTTTGGCGGGAATAAGACTTATCGTGTCAGTTAATCATGTCTTATCGAATTTTGACAAACCTAATTTGACCCCGTATTTGATTTTTTAGTTTTATTTTAATAGATAATATATATGTATACTAATTATAATTTTTTAAGAAAAAATTAAATTTTTATTTTTGATTTTATTTCAATAATGATATACGAACATGAATTTTTGTTACAAAAATCATATTATATTATGAATGTCTTAAATTCTTTATTTGATTTTTTTGTTTTATTCTAATGGATAATATAATTATATACTAATTACGAATTTTTAAGAAAAAATTAGATTTTTAATTTTAATTTTATTTCAATAATGATACAATAGGACATAAATTTTAGTTGTAAAATTTAAAATGTTTGATATTCTATGTTTGATTGGAGTATTTTTGGTCTAAGTATAATATTTTAAATTTGAGGGGTTTAAATATTATACACGCCTACAAATTTCAGAAAATATGAATGTAATTTACTAACGACAATGGTTTAAGTGTTACACGTATACAAATTTTAAAAAATTTGTGTAATATTTCAAATATTAAAGGATCCGAATGATTAAGTGATAAAACCTCAAGAGGTATAGATGTAATTCTACCTATTAGAAAAGTTGCTTTTGATTAGAAAGGATAGAAGGGAAAGACTATGGTACCAAAAATAGGGTATAATATCAAAATTTATAACTTTGTAAAGTTAAAGTTATAATTTTTTTAAAAATAAAAGTTATAACTATAAAGATATGTTTGGATGATCTACATTAGGGGATTGTATTGGTTTTAAGAGACTCCTTCAAATTCAACCCAAGAGATTCTGTATAGAATTAAATTACAAACCTAATTCAATCGTATGTTTGGTAGACAATATAAATAAGTGTGTGACCCATAAATTTAACAATTATCATAATACATTTATCATCTAAATGGTTGTATTGTCTATTGGTCAATTCAATTTATACTCGCGTGTTTGATAGATATGATAATTAATTAGGGATAGAAAGGTTTTTTATTACTATATCCATATTGGGTTGATTTCAAACCCACCCCGCCCCTTGGGTTTAGGAAACCCTTATACATGGGTTTTAGGTGGATTATTTATTACCGGTTGGAATTCCAATCTCGTGCCAGAGAGCTGCATCCAAACATGAATTATGATAGTCCATTAGACTATTTTTTTCTTTGTTTTTTTAAACCACTCCCTCTCCCATATAATCCGCCAAATCCACCTAGTGGAATAAACGAAACTAGCAGATTGATCACTATATAGATACAAAAAGATATGATTTATTCTAAAATTGTATAACAGATCATGAAAGTTGTTCTCTGTCAAGTGTATTTGAGTTGTGTGGTGTGAATTTTGTGTGTTTTCCTTCGTGTTTTTGATCCAAAAAAAAAAAACCCATCACCTAACAATTGGCTCATATATATATTTTTTTAAATAATTTTTTTTCTCTATAACTTCCAATTCTCTCCAATTTCGCAAGTGGGGTGAGAATGGAAGGCTGTGAGGGGCTAGAGAACAATGAGGAATGAGAAACAGGACAAGGGGGTGTGGGTTAGATAGAATTAAGGTGGATTCCATTTAACCCATGTTTAGGAAGCCAAGATAATGATGGGTTATTTTATTTGGGCTTATCGAAGCTCCAATTTGAATAGTTATATATCCATTGGGTTAGGATTGTACCATTTAAGCTAATACAACCAATTGTATTGAATTATGATGAATTAGAAAGGATAAAAAACTTCAACTCTATTCATTCCCACCCTGGCCATCCAAAAGCCACTCTACAACACAATCACTATTATTATTTTTTATATATAAATTAGGTCAATTATTTATGTTTTATATATTATTTTGAACACCAAATCTCCTATGCTTAATAATGTGAAATAATCATATTTATTATTTACTAAGTATTTGTAGGACTCACTAATCTATGTGACAGTGTGTCATTTCTATAATCGCCTTCTATTTTCATCGATATTGGTTGAATCAGAGAAAATATTGGACATAATGATTATATCATGTCATTTCGTTGGTATAGTATAATTGTTCAATAATAAAATAATAAGTAAATAAGTGAATTTTACATAAATAATTATTACATGATATAGATAAAAAATTATTTAATTATATGAAATCTACTAACACACTTGTGATCCTATTATTAAATAATTCCATATGAATCGTGATGAGACGGTGAAACCGTGACCCGAATATTTTTCTACAAGTTGAGCATTTGATTCCTTTCCGGTAACTTCCTGTGTTGCGTCACACGTCTTGCGCAACAATTTTAATCCACGGTGGCCAGTAGGTCCCACCACGCCTCCAGCGTCCCTGCGAATACGATTCAACCCCATTTTTGAGGTGACCACTAAATTAATAAGAAACCCCTGTTCTTTTCTCGTAAGTGCAGCGCCAGGAATTTATTGGTTCCCCCCCCCCCCCCCCCTCCTTCTCTCTCTCTCTCTGTATCACTCATCATTTCTGTGCAAGTATGAGCAAGGGACCAGGACTCTTCTCTGATATTGGAAAGAAAGCCAAAGGTAAATTCTCATCTTACTTGTAAATTGTGTATTCACCTCCATTTCTCAGTCTCTCCAATATTTAATCGCCCTATTATGTGCACACAGAGAGTTATATTTGTGCCTATTTTATTTCGATCTTGTTGTGTTTTCACATTTGTAGATCTGCTGACAAAGGACTATGTCTCCGATCAGAAATTTTCCGTCTCGACGTACACTGGGACCGGAGTGGTATGAGCTGCTTATGTATGGATTAGATTGTGTTTTCTACAGATAGTAATTTTGATAGTTTTAATTCTTTTTTTGGATCATGACTTAGGGGTTCAGTGAATTATGGCTTTGTTTCAAGTGGATTGCATTGTTTTGTGCTTAATTTCGTAATACAATGCGAAAATGTGTTTAGTTACTCTTATATTATGCTAGTAATTAGAAGTCTGAGTTCATTAGATCGTTGATTTCTTTGGGCCAGGGATTGTTTTTGGGCCTTGTCATTTATTTGGAATACATGACTATGATTTGTATTGAAAGAGTCAACATGCTCAATTAACGAAAATGGAAACAAGAATCTGACCCTTGACTCGTATAGGGAATGCATTCATGGAATTACTGATGTTTGGAATAGCAAGGAATTCTTTTTTATTTGACATGCATGTATAGGGTTTAATGTGCAAAGTCTCTGTACTGCTAGAATCTATTTTTCGATATGGTACCAAACCATTAACCATATCAATATATATATATATATATAAGGAGAGCATTATGAGTGGGAAGCGCATAAGGGGAGACATAATGGTCTAAAAAGAGAGAAACATTATAAGACAAATGATCCTCACTCACAAGGTTGAAGTGGTCAGTATCAAGGAAACCCCCATCTACCAATTAAAGCAGAGTAGGTGGCCAATACTTCCTTAACTAGTAGAAAAAAATGAATTACATTGTATTTTGAAAAAGTTGAAGATGATGAGTTCATTATTAAAGCAATTGGTGAGGCTGCATTCCATGGACATGGAGGCCACTCCAAATAGGTTTTTCTTTAAGAAGTTAAAGATGTAAGTGGTTATAAAGTAACTCTAAATGTGAAGGATGTGGTCCATAATGAAATTGCCTGATCGAGTGTGGAGTAGGACCTTGAAAAGATGCTAGTGGATCAAGATGTTTTAGCACAAACAATTTTAAAGTGGGAATAGTGGTAAAGAACAAAAATTTTGGTGTGGTGATAGTTGTAGCCATGAGATTCCTTGGAGGCAATCGTGGTTGTTGTTTAGACAAAAAATACAATGTCACGATGTTGTAGAGTGGGATGCATTAGCAGAATCCCATTTTGTATTGCATGATTTGCTACTCGACGCCTTCAAATTTAAGAAAATGTATACGAGACCTGTTTAGAAAATGCCATGCATTGATGATCCAAAATAGCTATATGACTATGAAGAATGGAACATAACAAGTTATTAACAATTAAAGACAAGATGAAAAAGGGGTCAATACTTTGGGTGCGTTTGGTTGATGTTTTTTGTTTTTATTTTTACTTTTTGTAAAAAAATAAAAATAAAAACGCGTTTGAGTTAGTGTTTGTGTTTCTATTTCATATAGGATAAGTTGTTTTGAAGACGAGGCCCAAAAATAATAAACAAAAAAAAAAAGAAGATGTTCTAAGAATCAAGGAAAACAAAAACAAGCACGCGCGGGGGCTGGGGGAGTTAATGAGATCCAGGATTTGAGTCTTTTTAGCAACAAAACACATCTTTTTTTGTTGAAGTGTAAAAACCCATTCCATTTTCTCTCTCCTCTATGTGTTAGGCAAACGGCTCCCTCTACCTTTCTCTCCATCGCTTCCTCTCTCTCATTCACTGTCTTTCTCTTATTCGCTGTCTCCATCGATGTGTCCTTCTTTATCGTTGCCTCCATCTCTACCTCCATTGCTGCTTCTCTCCATCGCTACTTCTATGATTCTTTTCATCTCCTTTCTCTTTCGCCTTGGTCTGTGCAACGAAGAGATCTCAGATCTTGACTGTATGATTTCTGCCTCCATCACTGTTTCTATGTTTGTGTCTGATTTCTGTGTTTGTGTGTGTGTGGGTGTGTAATTTCTAAATTTTTCTGTGTGTCTAATGTCTAGGTCTCTGCATGTTTGAGATGTTTAGGTGTGTGTGTGAGTGAGAACTGATTTCAATAGTAGTTAGGGTTAGGGTTGATTTTTCGGATTCCAATAGCAATTAGGTTTAGGGTTAGTTTTGGCCTTGAGTAACAATATTGCACTTGATAAATTTAGGGATTTGTTTGAGGGCTATCTTACCACCTTAAAAACTCTCAAACATGTTTTCTGTTTTTAGTGTTCACCACAAAACAAAACAAAAATTATCTCTATTTTTTGTTTTTCGAAAACACGAAAATAAAAATGTTACCAAACGCACCCTTAGTTTTGTATGGAAGTACTTGAAGAATGACACAGCAGAAGTTGAATTATCTAGGAAAAAGGAGGAAGATTAAAAAAAGATATATCTCAGATAGTGACAGAAAGGATAGCCAAGGATTACATAGCCTATGACCTAAATAGAGTGGAACAGTGAAACAGGACTGGTGTAGTGAACCTGAAGTCCTCTGATGAGATGTTGATGTCGTTCAGTTGTGTACGTAGCAACACTAGAAGAACCAACTAATTTTCTTTTTCTTTTTTTTTTTGGTTGTCTTTCTAAAGGTTTTATTGCATGCTGTGAGCTTTTGGTGACTTAAGTACTGAAGGTCCTCAAGGTCCTAGTTGTAGCTGTTTGACAATATCTTTTTTTTTTTTAACGGTCCACCAGCAGAAATCACCATGCTGGAATTTAGAGCAGTCAACAAACCTTTGTCAAAATGCCTTTTTAAGCCAAATAGACTCACAGGATGAAGAAATGGAAAGCAAAGGAGATGAAGTCGGCAAAGAGGATGATGTGCACAACTTAGTCTCATATGAATCTAAGGATTCAATGGATGAATGTTGCATGAATTGGCCTCGGCAAAACTTGCACTAACCAAGATGCTTCAAGGATATGGAACAAAATCTTGCAAATTGTCCTTAGGGCGAAAGTCTTTGGGGCAAATTGTCATTAGACAGCTTTTCAATTTTCTTTTGTACCGGTGGAAAAGGGTGGTGTGAATAGATTGATATATTGCTTGCCTAGTCTCATGAATTGTGGGATGATTTTCGATTTCTTTTGTATCATAGTCAACTTATCTCTATGAGTTACTTTAAGTTTTTTAGACTAGGTTAAGAATTACCTTGTATGGCCTTCAGGTGTGCATCAAGCCTCTATGCTTTATCATATTTCTTTTGTACTCCTTTTTTCCCTTAGTCCCAATTTGTATTTAGGGGGGAAAAAATGATATGGTTATTTGCTACCTCAGGAGAAAGGTGATTTATGGGCTTGTTATTTATCTGTCCTAAGTGATAAGGTGATTTGCTGTCCATGCCTAAAGAAAGGTGAAGGCTCTTGTCAAGTAGGCTTTTTGTTTTTGTTTTTTTTTTGAGGGGGAGGGGGTAGGTGTGGGAGAACCATGGCTTATCTGTATTAACGTTTGTGTTGTTAAATTCATTTTTTTTATTCAGAACAGCATATTCTTCTAGAACAGGAAACAATAACACTGATGAAAGTATCGTGTAAATCTCTAGATGTCTGCCAAGCCACTTTCCTGATGATGATCAAATATCATTTGTTTAGGATGTTTGCATCAGAGGAATCAGTTCCATACTTTTGCTGGGCTTTTTGCTGGTGATTAGTTATATCAGAGTAATGATGTTTCGAGCGTGAAAGAAACAGTAAGAAACCCTGAAGTTTAACGATAATGAATAGCCGAAAAATACAATTGTCAATTTTTGTTAAATGCGTCCAACTCATTCAAATGTATTTGGTAGCTATCCCACTCATCATGGTTTCATTTTTTATTCCTTTTTTTGGAATCACTCAGTTTTTTGTTGATTAGTCCTTTCTGTTCTTTTTCCACGTAGTTCATAGTGTCATGTTCTTTGATGGCTGGCAATGAACTTGTATGCTTTTTTTTTTTGGCTAATGAACTTTTATTCTAGAGTTTTGTTATCTGCTCATGCTCTTTTTTCTATCAGATGCCATTGGATGGTTCCATGTTGCATTTCTTTCCCTGATTTTCAGTTGGTATTTGAGTTTATATATCACACTCCAAGTTCATCATCTCCCTTTGCTTTTTCCTTGATTTTAGGCCCTTACATCAAGTGCAGTGAGGAAAGGAGGACTCTCAAGTGGAGATGTGGCTGCACAGTACAAATACAAAAATATTTTAATTGATGTTAAAGTTGATACCGAATCAAATGTGGGTTGCTCGCTACCTTGGTCTTCAAAATTCAGACCGACTTGTGCTTCTTTTAATTGGGCATCGTTTCTTTCTCACCATTTTGGCAGATCTCAACTACTTTAACTTTTGCTGAGATTTTTCCATCAACAAAGACAATTGCTTCACTGAAATTTCCTGACTACAACTCGGGCAAGGTATGGATTTCTGCAGCTGTGAATCTTATCCTGTTTAACAACTGGCAGTTGTAGCTGTATTATCTCAAACATTCACGTGTGTTTTGCAGCTGGAAGTTCAGTACTCCCATCCTCATGCAACCCTGACTAGTGCCATTGCTCTGAACCAAACCCCTGCTGTTGATGTTTCAGCCACCTTTGGTACTCCAACCTTTGCTTTTGGTGGAGAAGCAGGTTATGAGGCCACCTCTGGTAAATTTACGAAGTACACTGCTGGCATTAGTGTGATGAAACCAGATTCCTGTGCTTCGATAATTTTGTAAGTTCAAATACGATACCTTTAACAGTAATAGTACTCCCTCTCTCATGCATCAGATGATAAAAGACTTTTATTCATTGATGTATGAGTTCGTGCTTACTCTTTATCTTTTCAGGGGCGACAAAGGGGACACAATAAGGGCAGCATATATACACCATCTCGATCAAGTAAAGAAGAGTGCTGCCGTGGGAGAGATCACTAGAAGGTTCTCTACAAATGAGAACACATTCACAGTTGGAGGGTCATATGCTGTTGATAACCTGACACTGGTGAAAGCAAAGCTCAACAATCACGGAATGCTGGGTGCCCTCTTGCAGCATGAGCTCATTCCAAAATCAGTTATGACGATCTCAAGTGAGTTTGACACCAAAGCCTTGGATAAGACTCCCAGATTTGGTGTTTCCCTTGCTCTGAAGCCTTGATGGAATTTTACCCAGTTATGATGCCTTGTTAAAGCAAATTCCTTTCTAGTTTCTTTCGGGTGCTAACCCGAGGGGATAGCTCAATAAATAATGCCCCAGAAACATTCGTTGTCAAGGTTCCATATGACCATGGATGGTTTGCTTTGATAGTTGAGGAGGGCATACCATACGTTTTTTTCTTAGCCTTTCAATCTCTTTCTTGTTTTTTTTCAAATGTCTGAGGCATTTTCAGAGAGCTGCGCTTCTCTTTTTACGGTGCTCATTTTGGGATTGATATAACATTTTTCAATTGCTCGATTATTTTATTTTTTTGTTGTTTTCCAAGTGATTTAGGGATCCAGCGCCTTGATGGCAGGAGCTTGCAAATCTGTTGGCTGTTGTGATGCATTCCTCAACAAGCATTGAAGAATTGGAGTGGTGGATATCTGCTGTAGAAGTGTTACTAGCATGTTTTGGGGAGTGACCCTCAAGCCTCAATCCCCGAAAAATAACACGCTGATGAAATGGACGGTTATTGGGGAGACGGAGTGATCTTCAAGCCTCAATCCTCAACAACTAACACGTCAGAAGCGACAGAATTACAACTGTTTTTAAGCCATACGCTCCTGAAATCCTAAGGTCTACTCATGACAAAAGAATTTATTTTGAAACAGAATGCAAAACATGAGGCCCCTGACGGCAATACAGCAAACCTCAGAGTTGTACCCAAAAATTACAAAAACCGAACAACAGAGATGAAATGAAAAATTTATCAGAGAAGCATCTAGCATAATATATTTTGAAGCAGAACCCCAACAAATTGGGCGCCTGTATTACCAGATTTGATTCCCAAAAGACGAACAACAATGGACGGATAGTTTTCAAAAAGACGCCACTAACATGAGGCTTCAATTACACTATAATCAAGCTCCAATAAGCCGGGAATGAGTTCTATAAAATACGAGGGTGGAAAGACTCAAAAACACAATGGTAGAATCCTATGTCCCAATAAAAACAATTAACCAAGGGAATACCAACATGTTCTTTTCTTTTTCTTTTTATTTTTTTTTTTTGGGGGGGGGAGGGGATAAGAATCATTGTCATGTCTCAAAAAAATGGGTATCACTGCCAAAATGGCAGAATCACTATTTTATGCAAATCATGTTATACTAAACAGCTATGGAAATACAAGAATTTATGAAGGTGGGAGATAAACATTTTTACGTAGTAGGGTGAGGTGGGGGAGGAAGAAATGAGGGGTTGAATCAGGGTTCCAATATCAAGAATTCAAGTGTCAAAGTATCACTCCTCAAAAACACAATCCATATAGCAAGAGGATATGAGGTAAACCAACAAATATGTAGGTAAATATAATATGAAAACCAAATGAATGGCCTTATCAGTTCAACATGATCATCACAACGGTTAAGACCAACATTCAAAGCTGGTAGCATGACAACTTCTAACAAGGAAGAGACCATAGCAAAACATTGATATTGAATCACAATCCAACACCACAGCATCATGGGTGAAACATGTCTTCTAAGGAAAAAATAAAGGAGTATACGACTAGTTTTAGCCTTCTAGAACAAACCAAGGTCCAGAAAACAACGTAGAACAATCTAAGGATGTGTCACTCAAAGCTAAAATCCTAAAACTTACTGTTACTAATTGCAATGTTTGAACATAATAGTAATATTGTGACAAACGAACTTCAAGTACTTCATAGGACGAGGACGAATAATTATTTATAATATAAGGTACAGACAACACTTCTTTTGGGTACAATCTAAAACGATTCCACATTCAAGAAAGAACCGGACCCGACTCTTTTTTTAAGAGGGAAGAAGCCAAAATCTAGAGGATCTGATGAAGGGAGAGAGAACTACTATTGAAAAAAGGGAATTGTAATTTTTGCAGCCTCCCATTCACTCCACTTTCATATAGTTCTTATCTTAATAAATTAAATGATTGTCTCCTATAGTTTTGACGTTGGATCTCGGACCTAAGGAAAGCAATTATTACAAAAGGCTAAAGAGGCTGAACCTATTGTAGCAGAACAAGCTGCCATTGATTTTGCATCTTCAAGACATGAAGAAAGACTTGAACTCATATAAGTGGAAGTACCCCCAGAGCTTGACTAGAGACATCTTACCGATATTCAAAAAATTCGAGCTTATGAAGCAATGACAATGCTAAGGGGCCACATATAACGAATGAATGAAATACAGATTCACACAATTTGCATCTGAAAGCACAAATACATGATAAAAACCGACATCGAACCAGGGTCAATAACAAGAAGCATTTTTCGGTGGCAGACCAAAAACATCCACACACTCGCCCAATTAAACTTGATGAACTCCAAAAAAAAGCTTAAACAGTTGCTCCACCATTATACTCCCAAACCTTAAAGCTCACATTTTTAAGTTCATCCATTATCGGCAATCTCAAAGACCATAGCAGAAATGAAATTAACTGGTGGAGTAATCCATTTAAATACATCTAATCTGCTGCTATTCCAGAGAAATATATTCCCAGTTTTCCATAACAAAAATCCCCACCACTTCATAGATTTAGCGGATCAATACCAAAAGATTAATCAAACCATCAGAAACAAATTAACAAGCATGAAATTCACTTAAACAAAAATTACCATTCATAATGATAAAAATTAAACACCAGAAAAATCCAAGTAACATAAAACCCTAATTCCAAGATGAACGTCCTCGCTCTCTCTTTCTATCCCCTTCAAACAACGATTAGATCTATATATTTCTAATACACCGAATTCAAAACACGACAATGATGTACCTTTAAACCGAATTATTGACGAATCAATCAACATTCTGCATAATATCCTCGGCAGTGAACTTAGTCCCCTTATCCTTATCAGCAGCAGCGCGTCCTTTAGCCTTGCGATCCAGCAACGACTTGCGATCCTTGTCGAGCCTGAGTTTACTGATTACCACCTTCGAGGGGTTAATGCCGACGTTGACCGTCGAGCCGTTAACCTTTTCGCGAGTGATGCGCTCGATGTGGATGACCCACTTGCGGCGGTACACCTGAACGACCTTGCCTTCCCGGCCCTTGTAGGTCCCACGCACCACCTGTACCTCGTCGTCCTTGCGCACCGGCATGGACCGGACGTTGTACTTCGACCGGAGTTCGGCGGAGAGCGGCGCGCTCATCAAAACGCGGCGGACGCTGGAAGGCGCCGTGAAGTGGGCCTTCCTGTTCTTGCGACGGGAGCTAGACACTCTCGGATTATACTTCATTTTTCACTTCTTCTCAAGTGACGGCCGGTGACAGAGGGGCTAGGGTTTTGGTGAATTTATAGGGTTCGTATAGGGGAGAAGGGTAGTAATGGGGCCTAGGGCACCAACGACATATGAATCTTGTTCCTACCAAGTTTAGCCAATTCTATTGGGTCAAGGACCTAGGGAACCCATGATATATGGATACTGTTGCCACTAAATTGAGTCCAACGTATTGCGCTCCAAGGAGGTTTGGGCCTCTGGACTAATCATTAATGAAAAATTTGAAAATCGGTTTCTTTACGTGAACTTATTTAAAGATAAGTCCGTTAAAAAAATTTATTTTATTTTAAATTTATTTATTTTATCAATTTTACTATTGTAACTCTTTCTTGTAAGAATATTATAAACGATGTTTATGGACACAATAATCAATCGTATACATCTCCTTCATAATTATTTTCAAATCCGACTATAATCCTCTAAGTCATAATGTTTCCTTATTCCAAAAATAAGAAATCGATATTTACCAAAAATCGTTCATATTCAAATTTTAAACTCATTACATTTCATAAAATACAATTTCAATTTACAATTTTAATTTACCCTGGACTACATCGACAAAAATATTAATATTAATATTTAAAAAATAATAATAGTAACATACTCAACAATGACAGTAACATGGTCACTAAAAAAATAATAACATGCTCACAAAAAAATAGTTACGTGATAAAAAAAAATAATAACAATTAGAGATTTAATTATATCAAAGTGGGCATTAACCTTGTAACCAAGATTCCAAAAAAAACTTATACATTAGTACTAAATTAAAGTGCTATAAATTTCGATTTTGTTGATTTTTTGTTATACAAGACAATCGAATATTTCTTGGTTGTATTACTGTGAAAAAGGTTCATATTATTGTGCATGAACTGAAAAATAGAGTTCATAATTTCGATATCTTAATGTTCACAATTAGTGTTGAGTGTCATAATTCAACTGTTGATTGTATGTTACTACTAGTTATTTTATAAATTTTCAATTTATAGATCGTATTTTCCCTAAAATTATTCGAAAAGTTGATGTTACTGTAAAAAAATTATTGTCTTTTATTTTGTAAAATTGGATATATTACTGATGACAAAGTTTTAATGTTACTGTAAATATTAAATTGTATGTTACATAATATACGCCTCAAGATTTGTAATTGTATGTTAAAATTCACTATAATGACATTAATGTCAGTATAGTAACACTACTATACTGGTAACCTTATTTGTAACTTTTTTTTTTTTTAGAACAGTCTCTAATTGTAACTTCAATCATATAGTAACATGAATGTTACTATATATTAACATTCGTGTTACTGAACTCTGTTGACATTATTCAATTTCTCTATATTATGCATTACTGTTGTTAAGGAAATTTTGTGATATGATTTTAACTTAATAAACCAACAATTTATTCGTACATTAAACTTCTCACATATAACTATCAGAATAAATAATTTTCATATATCACTTTCGTTAATTATCATAATATTTAATAAACGGATTTCATATATAACTTAATAAAGGGTTTCCATATATATCTCAATGATATAACTTATATGACTTTCCATAATTGAACAAAATTAACAGGAGTAATTTTGAGATTTATTAAATACCTACATATAAGTTCAAATATGAATTTATCTTCAAAAAAATTTCCTTTCGAAACTCAAATCATTTAAGTCCATATAAGGGAACTCACTCTCAATTTTTATCCTCTCAATTTTTACATCATTATTTATAGTTAAATTAGGTTAAGGGTTCCTTCTGTTGTGTGTAAACTAATTTTAGTGTTAATAAATTTTTAATATATAATTTTTTTTATACATTTTAAAAAAATTGCATGCGATCCCTAGGTGGGCACGAACTTATAGTAATTGTGTAGATAGTGTGTTTTTATTAGCCATTTTACCCTCGTCACATAATTTTAGCTTAAAATACAATTATTATTATTATTTTTTTGTTATTAAAAAATTTGTGATTTTGTGGTTTCGTCTATTAGTTTTGAATTTCAAATTCATAAACTTAGCAATTTGAAATATATTAGTTACTTTATCTTAAGCGTTGATTTGATAGGTATACAAATTAGATTGCAGTTAAGTTTTACGTATTCGTAAGCAGGTTTAAGCACATGTTCGTTATACTTTACGTAATTTTGAATTGTGTTTAGTTTTATATACGTGTGTACCTGTAATGATGTATATGTACCTTCTTTAAATGCTGATGTACTTATCTCACGGATGTATATATTTGTATAATATACCTGAATAATCATATGTATTTTTTGTCGTATATGATATGTTGTATACCTATGTAAACATGTATATATTAATTGTGTATCTGTTGTATTTGTTAATGCATTTTTTGTGTGTGTAATCATGAATGTTTGTAAGCGTGATTACCTTTCATATTTAATTTTTAGTTTTGCTGAAAATAAATACGTAACTTGTGTGATAAAATTTTAATTACCTGTTTATGTATCTGATATATATTTGTATGTGTTTTGACGGTTTGAACAGTTCTTCGATTTTTTAGGGAGTGGAAGAAATTTTGAGTGCGAGGTAAACATTTGATTTAGTCACTTTTGTTGTTGCTCTAATAATTATACTGCGCATAATGATATTAATAGGTACATTAATTAAGAACATATCATTTTTTTTTTACTATAACTCTCTGACAAAATGTGTTTATAAGGAAGAATACACATTATGATGAAATATCTTTTTAGAATAGGTATTTTAATTATGTGATAGTATTGTCGTTATTTTTACAATTTTAAAAGGCTATATGTCCATTTTTTTGACTTTTCAATAAGAACTTAATACAAAAATAAATTGAGTAATGGGTTTTTTTAAAAATCTTATTGGACCTAGGTACCGACCTCCAATAAACTCTTATATTTATAGTAGATTCTATTACTTTGGAAGCAAAAATACTTTTAGACTTATTTCAAAAACTATTGGAAATAGAATGAAAATATAGGAAATTTTAGAATTTTAATTTCAAAACAATTGAATAAATATTCTAAAATACTGCAAAATAACAATTTGGTCACGAAAACTTCCTAATTAAGGAAGACAAGTGGCCATTCTTCTTTAATAACATAATTTTCGTTGCGAAAACATCCTGAGAATAAAGTGGATATTCCTCCAGAGAAAAAGAAAAAAAAATTCATCGGTTATTTAATCAAGATATTTTCTTAATTCACTGAATCTAGAAAGTAGTAATAATAATATATATTGATGGTCAGTACAAAGTCTCCATCATGTATTATTTTGCAATACATGATGACATATGAGCTTTGTTTGTTAATGACCAACTTCACCGTTTGGCTCAGTACAAACCTCACCAGAACTTATCAATCTTTTTGCATAGATATCTGTTATCTTTTTTTTTTTTTTTTTGGGTTTAGCTCGTGGGAGTTTTGGATCAGTTTGTGCGTATCTCGATTATTTTTTTTTTTAATCTAGTTAAAGACAGATCATTTATACTGTAAATAAAAAAATTCATAAAGATAAATTTTTTATAACCAGACTTGAAAAGGTTTGTTAAGATTAGAGCTCGTCTTTATTATCATTTGAACTATCCAAATGATGCACTAGTCAATTTTTATTTTCTCTAATAGTAGACGAGTTCCCTTCCAGTACAATCTCATCACTCCATTTACCTAACAAATAGCACAGCTTCTCTTACAGGTTATTGCCGTTTGCTTGTTTGGATACTAAAACCGAAAAAAATTACTGTATGGACACAATTGAGAAAATCTAAATTTCGGGTGCAAAAACAAAATTCTGGTCAAAGTTAGGTGGACAAACAATCAATCCTGCTTCTAACCCGATTATTGCTCTCTCTCTCTCTTGCTGTTCTTTCTACTTTCTTCCTCCTCTTCGGAAGTCCACGTTCATTGGATGTGCCCCTCGTATAATTAATTATACTGTCCTTGCCATTTGTATAATTACTAGTAATTGTATGTGTCTAAATAAAAAATCTCAAAAATACTATGTGACAAAAAATCTCTAACAAAAAAAAATTCAATGGAGCCATGCTTGATTCAAATCCGATGTTAATTCAAATCCACCACTATACATGGATTTATTGCGATTTTGATCTACAACCCAAAATAATAGAGAACAAATTAAAGACTATCTAAGATTTAAAACAAAAAAGGAGTGTTTTCTTACAAAAAGTCACTAAAATTTTAGAGATCGAGACCCAAAGAATATTAAGCCAACAATTTAACTTTGTAAGGCAAATTTCTTGACCTAACCAACAAAAATTTAAGGCACATTATCTAGAAATGGACCTCTGCCTGAATGCATTCAGTAACACAAAATAAAAATTCATTTAAAAATAGATGACAAAACAATCTTGGGTAAATTCTACAAAGAATGAAAAAATAAGAAAATAATGTTACATGAATCTATTTTTTCAAGAAAAAAATCAATCAATTGATCCAAGAAAGTCAAAATATAATGCTTCTATATATAATCGACTGGGTTACAATAGTAATTGTAGGAATGGAGACCATAAAAGCTCACTTTTGTTTCCTTCTCAAATGGCCTTGGTGACACAAAGCAGGGTTTTTAAAACACTTTCATAGTTGACATGTTCATCCAAACCCTGCAATAGGATTATCATGGCATCTTCAATGGCCAAAATCTCTGGTTCTTTCTTACAATCGAGCTCAATAAGCCTCGAGACTCCATTCGCTTGCTCCACGTTGTAATGCCCCCCATCTAAAGTATTCATTGACACCCAAAAAAATTGTCACACACCAACTATGCAGATCACAAAAAAATATTACCATAATAAACTGATCAGGAAACTGCAAGTAATACCAATCAAGAAACTACAAATGCTAATCAAACTAACTGATCAAGAAACTGCACACTTCAACATTCAAATCCAATGGAAGTTTAAGATCTGAAATTTAGATGATGGAAAATGCATGTAAACATATCCAATGAACATGAATTCAAACCATGTAAAGTGCTTTCTGCAATCTTGATCACTTTATTTTCAAAATAAATTCCAAAGCCTAAAATCCATTATGCCGAACAAAGCCTTGAAAATTTAAGTAGCCAAAT